GCCTGCACCGCGCGCACACGCCCATCGTGCTGGCCGCGCTGCTGCTGCCGCTCTGCTTCGCCGACTACGGCGTGGAGGCCCTGGGCGAGCAGGCGCTGCGTCGCCGCCGCCTGCTGCTGCTGCTGGGCGCCGGCGGCCCGCTCCTCTACGGCCTCTACAGCCTGGGCAGCTACCTGGGCGTGCAGGTGCTGCTGGCGCACGCCGGCGCGCTCATTTGCCGCGGCCTCGACTACTTCAGCAGCCTGTGGGTGAGTGAGCCTCCGCCGGGTGCCTCCGGGGTCCCGGCGGGCACACAGCACCCTCCTCCGCCGCCCCGGTGCGCTGGGCTGCGATTCTGCACCTCCTCCTCAGTGTGCAAGGGCGACCGGAGGTCCACGCCTGTGCGGCAGTGTCAGCCTCCTTCCTTCCTTCCCACGCATCTGAGGATTTGGGCGCATTTGCTTCCAACGAGAGGGCGGGCGTGGTTTGAAACCTGTCCCCCTCCTCCCTCCCCCATCCTAATAGATCCTCTTAGGGGGACAGGCCCCCTCTTGGGAATCACTGTTCCGCTTTACAGGTTGGGGATCCAGAGCATCGGCAGGTGGATTTGAATTTACTCCTGGTCACGAGGCTTGGGGGTGCTCTGGCCATCTTCGTTTCTGCTCAAGTGGGACTTTCCTGGATGTCTGAGCTGGAAGGGACCTTAGAGGTCCTAGTTTAACCTGTCATGATAGGCGAGGTGACTTCTAACCCGGCTAGGGCTAGTTAGGGACAAGCAGGGGACTGGTTGACTCAGGTTTCTCAAGTCCTAAAACAAAGCTTTCTCAGTAGTCCGGGGCTCCTCTCAGTTCATCAGATTTCAGTGTACTTTGTGCAAGGCTGAGCCACCTTGGCCTCTTCCTGGCCACACTCTACTTCTTGGGAGCTACTTATGTCCCTGTCGGGATTGCTTAAGCAGACTGGGTGTAAGAGAGGTAGATTCCTGATTCTTGGGTGACCAGGGGCTTTAGAATTGGAAGGGGTTTCAAAGATAATCCAGTGACACATTTCCTAACTCAGGCCAGTTAATTATTCAAATATTTAACTGGGACTGTTAAAGACAAGTGGATAGTTAATGCATAAGAATGCTAATTGATCAGTAAACAGTACCATTTAAAAATAATTTTATTCTCTTTTGTCAGTGTTCAGTGCACCTTGACATCAAGTTGCAAAATAATTCTCATCTGTCCAGCAGGGTTTTGACTTGCTTGAAGTTGTTGGTAGAGTAATGATTGATCCCAGAGCCGCTGTCTTCTCTTGCTCTATCAATACCTCCTCTCAGGTCAAGGTAAAAGTTGATTGAGTATGTTAAATACTGGGCATTGTGAAGTATTTAAAAGGAGTAAGATGTAGGCTCTGACTTCAAGGTGCATATAGTCATATGTGAACATATTCTGGAGATGACAGACACACAGATATACAGGGTGCAGCAAAAGTAGGTTTACAGTTCATAAGGCAAATAATACAATTCGTAAATAATAATACAAGAATAAACTCTGTGTTTCATGTGCTCATAACTGTAAACCTACTTTTGCCTCACCCTGTATCTTCATTACTCACCAGTTACAGGCCACTGAGGCCTTGCAAGTTATTGGGAAGCACCTCATCCGTAATTTTGCGATGCTGCCTGTGTGTGCAGCAGCGAAGCGATCAGACAGAAGTCTTAGCCTCTAAGAGGACTGGGCTATTTCAGTTGTATGAAGGAGGGATGTGCCACAACCCCTTTTCATCTCTGGGGCCTTGCTGGCTTGTCAGGTAGAAGTGATCCTAGAGTTACACTTTACTTCCTGATGCCTGCCTCTCTTCAGGAGAGGTTTCTGAGGTCCAGAGAATGTGATTGTCCCAAAGTCACTCATATTGTGAACAAATCCACGGTTCACATTTATGGAGTCCCAGTTCAGTGTTCTTTCTTCTTTACCTTGTTTTGCAGTTCAGTTAAGTTCATTGAATGACTCTTGTTGGAAAGCAGAATACTCTTGTTGGAAAGAAGAAATGTAAAGACTGCTATGACCTGATTCCTATTCTCAGGAAATTCAGTCTTCAAAGTCAAACACGTTTATAGAGTCTGCTAACCTTTTTTGACTGTTGATATTGCAATTTACTGTAAATTACTGTAGCCAAGACCAAGTAGCTTATCCACTGCACTGTAGGAAATTAGAAATGAAAGGCCTAACTAATGTATATGGTATATTTTCATATATATAATGAGAAGTTGAATAGATGGGTAAATTGGCATGATTAGTGGAAAATGAAGCATTCCTGCTAGTCACTCTTAGATAGTGGAAATTAGATACTTGTAAAGGGGCTTGCAGCTCAGTGTATATAGTTTTGAATATTGTTTTACTGAACATAAATCTTCATCTTTGTATGAAGATACAAATACCCTTGTATGGTTTGTGGATGAGCAGAAGAGAAGTAAGGGCCAAGATTGATTAGGCTAAAAGTAGGGAGGAAGGTCAAGCCAATTAATGATTTTTAAAAAGGCTTGAAACTCAGCTATTTGGCTAAAGTGGTCGGGGTAAGGGAGAGGAGGTGGGAGTAAAAAAACACATTACAAAAGAGACAATATGAGATGGTTAGAAGTGAGTAGGGAGTGGTAGAGGGACTAAATTGGAAATAGAGCCTGGAGGTTGATTTGAGTTTGAGAAAAAACAGGCTTGCAGTTGTGTTTCGGCACTGGGGTGGGTGACTGGATGGGGGTAAGGTGTACCTGGGAAGCAGAGACCAGTTTTCAGCTCTCAGGCAAAAGTGTTGATTAAGTCCTGGCATGACCGGAAAATAGGTTATGTTACTGGGCAGGGGGCCCAGTCTGTAACTTTTCTGTCTCATAGTTCACGGCCAGTTTGATTTTGTAATCCCAAGCAGGGCTGCCTGTTATAGAGAAAGAGTCTTTATGCTTTCTGGACAGCTTGTAAATTTGAGCCTGCTGCCGTATAGATGGTAGAGGCAGAGGGAAAAGTTACATTTAAGCATATCTACGTTTTGGAGAGCTGACAGTACATACATTTAAGATGCAGCTTTTGAGCCATGAACTAGGCATTGGATTAGGTGCTTTCATTCTCACAATAATCTTGTGCAGTAGGAGGGATTTCACAGGTGAGAAGATTGACTAGAAATTGAACTATTCTTTTTGTTAGTAAATAGTATTCAACAGACCTGTCAGCAGTTGAAGTCCCTTTGTCATCAGGACCTTCAATAAGGATTTTAAAAAGTTTTCTCCCAATACGTTGTGTTTAAATTTTTAGTTTAATTTTTTTAGTTTGACTTTAGTTATTAGGAAAAAAAATGGAAGAATATCAGGATTGGACTAACCACAAGTGTTCCCTGAAATACCCCTGGATTCCAGTCATCTAGAAACCTTAGCCATCTCTCTTCTTTGCTTTTATCCTTGTATCTGTTCAGTTATTTACAAGTCCTGTCCAGTTTTCCTTTGTAGTATCTTCAGTGCCTTTATTTTTCTTTGTTCCCAGTTTATCTTGCTAGTTCAGTTCCCCTTCCCCTTGCTTGTGCGCCTTGACTCTCGTCTCCTAACACTCCATCCTACTTACAAGTGAAGACTAATCACTTATGGTATGAGTAGTTCTTTTTAAACAGTTTCAAATATATTAGAATAATGTACTGACTTAGTGATTTCTTAACAGTTAAAAAAATCATTCGTTGCACCAGGCTCACATGTGACTCAGTCCTTAGGGTTATTGGGATCTCCTCATGGAGTAGGCTTGTTAAGCTGAAAAGCTAACAGCCTTCCCCGCTCCACCAGTTTTCTTTGCTGGGCGTGTTTTGCTTTCCCTCTCTCCATTAGTTCAGATGTGTTGGAAAATTTCAAGACCATTTACAGTTTTTGCAGTAGTAATAGATTTGTTTTCTCTGTGGTCTCTAATCGCATTGTTTTCATTTTACTTTATAAAGAAGCATGAGGTGGAAAAGAATAGTGGCTGAAAGATGAGATTCTAAACTGATCTCTGCCAACAACTTGCTACGTGACCTTGAACAGACCAGGGCTCTTCTCTGGGCTACTTTACTTAACCCCAGTGAAGTGTGGGATTAACTTGAACGGTTTCTAGGGCTCCTTGGTGTTAAGTTTTACAGCTTTGAAGAGTTTGGCAGTCTTGCCAGTGAGGCTCTTAGGAAGTGTACCTTAGCCATCCAGGCCTACTTAGCTCCACTTCTGAGCCCTTTTCTAGGTGTGTTTTTGCTTGCCTAGCAACACTAAGGAGGAAGATTTCCAGTGCTTAGATTCTTTCTCAGTTGAACATTTTGATTTCAAATGAGCATTAAGCTTTCTTAAAGCAGAATGAAGTGCCTGAAGCTGCAATTGATTGGGGCTATGTTTAGGGCTGTTGGCTCCATAACTTGGGAAGAATTCTGTTGGTTTTTTCTCTCTTGTACAAGACTTAGGAAAGTGTTTTTCAAAAACATGCAATAGAAGCAAGCCAAGTTGTTTTCCAGTTAATGCCCAGATTACAATAAAAAAAAACAATGACATAGTTTAAAAGGCAAATTCTTCTTACAATTTATGCATTTACTATTTTTCAATCGGAAAAGTATATCTGGATAATAAGTGAAATGAAAGAAAAATGTGATTATAGTTTGCTTTACTTGTAAGCACATTGCCAAGTTTTATGCAGAGTCTTATATAGTGTTTTAAAATAAGTACTGAATGTATATTTTGAAAAGGACACATTGTTTTAAAGAACGTAAATTTGGGAAAGTATGACCTCTTGTGTATGAACTATTGTTCATTGACTTATTCTGGGAAGAGAATTCATAGTTGAATAAGTTTGCTCAGAAGCTCAGCATATCTCTCTGAGAGACAGAGAGAAATGAAAAACTCTCTTAAAGTCACACTTTTAGCAATCCATACTGGAAATTATGTAAAATTTGAATGTCCAAATCCTTGTTTTCAGTTTAGGTTATTTTAAAGAATATTTATTAATTTTAAAAGTTGGCTCAAGTAAAACATGCTTGTTATATAAAAACAGCTTAAGCAGTGTAGAAATTGTAGGTAAAAGTTCGTTTCTCTGCCACCATTTCCTGTTACTGATGAATGGTCTTCTAAATTTATTTCTCTGCCTTTGTGGACCAATAAAGTATAGGATTTTCATTTTTTAAGACAAAAATGGGAGCCCGCTTGGGTGTGGCTCAGCAGTTGAGAGTCTACCTAGGATCCAGGCGATCGGGGTTCGATTCCCGGTCAGGACACATGCCCGGGTTATGGGCTTGATTCCCGGTCAGGGGCCTGCAGGAGGCAGCCGATCAATGACTCTCTCATCATTGATGATTCTCTCTCTCTCTCCCTCTCCTTTCCTCTCTGAAATCAATAAAGATATATATAAAAAAAAAACCACACACAAAAAACCAAAAAAACAAAAAACCCCCACAAAAATGGGATAACATATATATAAAACTGCACCTTGGTCTTTAATTTATCATTGTATTTTGGACATCTTTCCTTGTTAGCACTTACAGATATACTTTTTTAAAGTAGTACTATAGTATAAAAACTTTTTTTTTCTAGATGCTTTTTAGAAAGTGCTCCTACCAGATTATCTTCACTCTGAATTTGTATTAGGATAACCTGATAAACATTTTTAAGCATTGGTAATTGTATAATCATAATGGTTTAGTGGGAACTCTAAAGTGTTTTTTACAAATGGCCATGCTTTTTGAGCTAATAATATTCTGTGACTTTTCTGAAGAAATATTTCAAAATATTGGGGAAAAAATCCAAAATAAGCCAGAAGTCTTGTTTTTTTTAAAATAAAAACATTTACTATTTATAAAAATAATAATACTCTTAGGAGGAAATTCAGTATTTGAAGGAAAGCATAAAGAAGCAAATTAACCCCTGAAATCCAACCATCCAGCATAATATCTTTTTTAACATTTCTGAGAGTATATTTTCACCATTATAAATTTGCACTTGCATGATGTATACTGTGTCATTGAATATAGATATTCACACCTTTGAAAGTCTGTTTTTGGAGATACCATTATTTAAATAGTACTCTATAAAATGACATTTAGCTTATAAATTTTTCAGTATTTTAAACTGCCACAATGAACATTTTTATATCTGTCTGCACAGTGTATAGTGCTTCTGTAAACCAAATTCCCAGAAGTGGGACTGATAACCAATTTCAGTGGTTATTTTAAACTGGAATGAGATTATCTGTGAGTTTCAGGTTTACTAGGTGAAAAACACATGCTTCATTTTGGACCATGAATTTCCCTTAAAAAATGTGAAGTATGCAGTCTTGTTATTTTTTTTCTCTCCCTGATAGTGATACTGCTTCCTAAGTACAGATAAGAAACAAAAACTTCTTGGAGGTTGGCTTTAAAGTATCATAGACGTAAAATCTGAAAGCTTGTACCTTTTGTGATCCTCCAGCTCAGCTTCTCACTGAGGGCAGACTCTCCGTTGTCATCCGTGACTTATGGTCAGCTTTTGCTCAGATGCTTTTAGTGGTGGTAGCTTATTCCATTTTTAGCCCATTGTTCTAACTTCAGGACATCTTTTTGTTTATTTTTTAAAAATATATCTTTATTGATTACAGAGAGGAAGGGAGAGGTGGGGGGGAGAGAGAGGGAGAGGGAGAGGGAGAGAGAGAGAGAGAGAGAGAGAGAGAAACATAAATGATGAGAGAGTCATTGATCGCCTGCCTCCTGCATGCCCCCAACGGGGGCTCGAGCCCACAACCCGGGCATGTGTCCTGACTGGGAATTGAACCACGATCTCCTGGATCCTAGGTCGATGTTCAACCGCTGAGCCCCGCCCGGCCGGGCAGGACATCTTTTTGAATCATTATTGTCATCTCGGTTTTTATTGACTATGCCCTATTTTGTGTAAACTATGAGTTGATTAATATGCCTTCTCATCTTTCACCTAAATTACTGACTTCATGTTTAATAGGGTGGGGCTGATTACCCCTGTGTAACATGCCACCTAGGACCATCCGTTTGCTAAGGATCATTTTTTATTTCATCAATTTGTAGTTGCTAAAATCGACTGTTTTTATTTTCCCTTGTGAATATTGGAGATGCTTTTCCTTTTTTAAGTTTTTTTAGCACCACTCTTCTTTCTCCTTCTCGTTAAGAAAGCAGACTCAGGAGCCAGATTTCTGGGTTCTGATGCCCACTCTGTCACTTTTTAGCTCTGTGACCCTGGGCAAGTCACTTCCCTGAAGTCTCAGTTTCTTTATTCTGTAAAATGGGAATAACTATACTTATTTCCTGCAGTTATGAGAATTAAATGAGTTCATACAGATAAAACATTAGAACAGGGCCTGGCCCTTAGTAAGTGTTATGTAAGTGTACTATTATTACACTCACATTTTGGGTTGAACTCCACAGTCATAGCTCAGAATCTCTGAATTCCCAGAGTTAAGTTTGTGTGGTCCTGCAAGCTTGAACTTTTTTGAAGCAGCAATAGTCTCACTTCCCATGTACTCATAAGATCTCTGTAATATTTAATCTAATAGAATTGCTTGAAGAAGAATATTTTAATATCCTTTTTCAGTATAAAAAAATTAGTGATCATTAAAGACAATTTGGAAAATACGTAAAAAAGAAAAAGAAAAACAACGATTACCATCCCAAAACAACCATTAATTTCTTAGTACCTTTCTTTTTCCTCACCATGCAGTAGATGTAATCATGTCATATGTGTTTTTGTATTTTGCTTTTCCTTAATAGTCTTAGGAGTATTTTTAAATATATAGTCTTTGCTTACAAAAACCTCTTTTAATAGTTGTGTAACAGTTTCCTAAGTGAATTATCCATAGTTAACCACTTCCCAGTTTTTGAACTTTTAGGCTATCAACTTTTTAGTATTCTAAATTACATTCTCTTGGGCTTCTTTGTATACAGTTTTTCATTATTTAGTAAGGTTCCAAAGCTGAATTCTCAGGTCAGAAGTTATAAACATTTTTAAGACCTGAAGACTATTTTTATTGACAGTTATGACCAAAATAAAGTAGGAGGTAGTGTGTTTTTTTTTTTCTTTTCTAGTAATCATATCAGTTCCTTTTTCTTTATTCTCTGAATTATGGCTTAAAGTTCTTTTGTTTTAATTTGCCTTTTCAAGGTTTAGGTCATATTAATATGTTTCTGGTGTTCACATTTGTTCTGGATTATATATTCCTTGCATCTTTTGTAAATGTTCTGTTAAAATATGAGTTTGTTAGAGAGTCTCTGCGTAGGCTATGCTGATGCTTCTTCAAGTGCTAGAGTCATTTAATTTTAGTGTAGGGAAAACTAAGGAGGGGACGGACCCTGGCTGGTTTTTCTGTTTTAAATCTTGCTGTTTCTTCTAGTAATGTTTTTTTAGCTACACTTCTTCAAATGTGCATATAACTCTGGTATAGGTTCTAACCATCTATTGCCTAGATTATTTCATCAGGGTCACACTTCAGCTGTCTGCCTTACTTTAGCTTTTAAAAATTAATTTTCACCCTGGCCAGTGTGGCTCAGTTGGTTGAAGATTGTCCCATGCACCCAGAGGTCTCTGGTTCGATTCCTGGTCAGAGCACATGCCCAGGTTGTGGACTTGATCCCCAGTAGGAGGCAATTGATTGATGTTTTTCTCACTGTGTTTCTCTCTCTATCTCTAAAAAAATAAATAAAACATCTAAAAAAATATTTAAAAAATTACTTTCACTGTAAGAAGCGTATTTCATAGGCTGTAATGGAATCTTAGCCTGATTATTTTAACCTTTTCTTGTTGTGTTTTTTTTCTTTTCTTTTATAAACAATCTATAGAGAAAACTTTAAGAATTCTGTAATATTAAAATCTTACGTCCATGGCTTAAAATGTGAATATTTTGTCTTAAGTATCTTTATGCATATAGTAGTTTTTGAACTTTAATATATCTTAAATTAAAACTATATGTATTTTTGTTTAAAAATATTTAAATAATATCACTATATGGGATTTTAAATGCCTATTTACTTCAAAACTTGATTTACCTAAACAGGAGGAAAGCCTGCACCTGCTCCTTTTAGTAGCACCTGCCTTTGTCGTATCTGTCTTATCTCATGCAATATAGATGCTTGCACATTTTGTACAATTGTATGTTTATTTTCATGTGTTTATATTTTACAGCTGTGTCTATATTTCATTTATTTAAGATCTGGACGTTGGTAGTTGGCTATGTGTTGACTGTTTCATTCAAGTGGAATGCAAGCACTGAGCGCTACTTGAGAGCAGTATCAATTCCTGTCTGGATTATATTGCTTTTTCATTTAGGTGGGTCACTTTTTCTAAGAAAGTTTAGCTTTAAGGGCAGCAACGGCAGACCGTGCAAATCAAAGTGTTTTTTTTTGTAGTGTTACATATTGCATTTAAAATTCTTTAAAATAATCTTTAGAAAATGTTCTGCTTTAATATTTTATTAATCTTTAATGGAAATATTATGCTTTAAAATATCTGTCTTTTAATGATATTGAATATTCATTTTCCAAAAGGTTCTTTAAAAAGAAGTACATCTTAAAAAGTAGAGCACACTTGGACTGTCATCAGCATTCTTGTGTGTCATACTGAAGGAGGGTATGGATAAGCAGCCAGTGTGATGAGAAGTGCTCAGAATCAGTGTGAGAAACAATGAAAGGAACCAGAGATGTTTACTTACTCAGGATAAGGGAAGGGAATTGGGCTGCAGGGGTGGGGAGAGGTGGAAGTGAGGAGCGCATCAAATATGGTAGCCACTGTCCTGTGAGAGTGCTTTAAACAAATCTTGGAAACCATGAGGGAGAGATGTTAGAGCAGTGATTAGCTTCAGAGAGAAAAATCTCTGTCCAACAGGAAAATGGTCAGTGTCAGAGCTGCTCAGAATAATTCCCTGTTACTTGGGACTGAACTTTTAGCTGAGTGACTGCTAGGTTGTAGAGTGATTTTTCAGGGGCTCTTATTTCCAAATGTCAGTCTATGGAAACACTTAGTTCTAATTTTAAAACAAAATTCAGTAACCAAGAGCAGTAGATAGCCTGTTTACAGTAGTTTTTAGAACTACTTATTGTTAAAAATTAAAAAAAAAATAAAGTAAAAGAGTTGATTGAAAATATGTCTCTGCTTAGAGTCTGATGTTGAGTAAAGCATTACTCTCTAGTTTTGCTGACTTGCAATGCTTAGAGGAGTTTATCAGCAAGATCCCCTAATACATGATTTGACTTATTTTGAATATGAGAAAGGCAGAGGAGGAGGCAGGCAGTAAATGTCCATGAGGCTCTAGATGAATTCAAGGAACTACAAATGGCTAATGGGTAGCCAGCTACTCGTTAGCATTTTTGCATTATGCACTCAGGAGGACACATGGAAGCTTTTTGCAGTGCTCTTTTGGGCTGTTCCCCCCTTTCTTGAGAGAGTTCACATCCAGTGGTATTTTCAGGAAGTCAAGTCAAGCTTCATGACTTTAGGATCTATGCCTGATGCAGGCCATTCTTGGATTACATGGGGGTTTTGAGTTCGGGATAGTCTTAAACCCTGGACATGCTTCAGAATGGACTTGGTTCCTCAGGTGATACAAGCCCTTTAAAGGTAGGCTGGCACATGCCAAGTCCTTTCGACCAGGGGCCTCTGACAGCAGGACTGGACTGAAAAGTCCTAAATTTAGGTTTCATCTGTCTGATGGCCTTTTTTTTCAAATCTTCCCTGTGAAACAATTTTGTTAACATATATGCTAAATTGTTTTGTCAATCTACTAAACTGATTCTTTTAAAGACAAGTGCTGGGGTCTGTTTCACTAAAAATGTTAACTCTTAATCATTTGCAGCATCTCTGGCTGGCTCATGGAGAATTCCAGTATTCCTGGTTATTGTTTTCCTGATGTCTGTGGGTACCCTCTATGAAAAACAGAATGGAAAAGAGTGTTCTGGTAAGAAAGAAGGCATTCTGTTAATGTTACTCTTAAGAAATATTGGGGAGAGTACCTTTATTTTAAAAACATGCTGTGATGAAACCACTTTAAATGTATGTAAAAACCTGTTGTTTTCTGAACAATTAATTTATTTAAAATATTTTAGGTTAGACTATACCTCATGCCCTTCCCCCCTTTTTTGCATTTTTTTATTGAGGTATAATTCATAGAATATAAAATTAACCATTCACTATTTTATTTTTTATTGATTTTAGGGAGAGGAAGGGAGGGGGGAGAGAGAGAGATAGAAACATCAATGATGAGAAAGCCTTCATTGATCAGCTCCTGCATGCCCCTGACTGGGGATCAGCCCGCAACCCGAGCATGTGCCCTGACCCAGAGAGTTGAACTGCAATCTCCTGGATCCTAGGTTGATGCTCAACCGCTGAGCCATGCCTAGCCAGGCAACCATTCACTATTTTAGAGTAGCATTTTCGTTACAATCACAGTGTATGCAACCGTCATTTCTATCTTGTTCCAAGAAATTTTGATCATCCCAAAAGGAAACCCTGTACCCATTAGACAGTAACTAACTGTAGTTAGGTTTGAGATCTTTCTGTTTTCTTAATGTAGGCTTTTATAGCTGTAAATTGCCCTCTTAGAACTCCTTTTGCATCCCATAAATTTTGATATGTTGTGTTTCCATCTTACATCTTGGTTAATTTCCTGTGTGCTCTTCTTTTTATTCCTTTGTGAAGTTCAGGCTCTCTAAAAACTTATTGACTCACTTATGTGGTAACGTGGATGATACTGCATAGTTTCCATTGATCTAGCTATGATTCACTGAATATTTACTGTGTCTTTTAGTGCTATCAGCAGTCATAGAAAGAGTTAGTATTTGTGAAGGTTTAATTTATTGGATATGTGTAGTTCCTTTGGAGCTGAAATTCGTTGGCTTGGCAGAATTCTGTGTTAATCACATTGATTGTTGGCCTACCAAAAGTAAGGTCCCAGCTGTGTGAGTGGGGAGTATAATTTAATAAGTAGGAACAGCCAGGATTCTTAGTTGTGAACAGTGGAATCCATGCTAGTCTAAATAGAAAGAGATACTGATTAGCATATAGAATTTTTGAAAAGACCAGACAATTAAGATTGGATCCTACACAGGCAGAAATAATGCAACCAGTAAAATGCTCAATGATACCCAAGGACTGTTTGAACAGAAGTGTCATAGCTGCTGCTGCCTGCCACAAATCAGACAGCAGAACCTCTGGAACTTCTGTTCAGTTCCTGCTGAAAAGCCATATGCCTCCGTGACTGTGTTTGACATGTACGTGACTTCCAAATTACAGTGAGTCGCTTTGATCTTCAGAGTCTTGCACAGGTGTGCCTGCGTGGTAGAAATTGCATCACATGTGGAACCTTAGCTACAAGGGAGTCCAAGAAATAGTCTTTAGCTTTCCAGTCTCTAGGGTGCAGGAAAGCATGTTAGAACCTGGTATTGTGTAAGCTAGTCTGTGTTGTCTGTCATAACAGGTTAAAGGCTGACAATTACAGGGAGACCTCATTGGCCAGTAAATTTTTTGAGTCTAGTGCAAATGTTAATCTTGGTGTACTGCCTATTAGGAACTTAACATGGGAGCATATAACATGAAACAGGGTAATGATATTCTTTTAAAATTTTAAGTGGTGAATTTTGCCTATGCTGAATTATGTACTTTATAGATGTATATGGTTTTGCATAATACTCATATGTTTGCGTATTCGTTTGTGGAATGTTATAATTGAGAGCACCAAGAATGGGCTAGTAATACAAAGGAGAGTGAAACAGTTTGTATTCAGGAAGCTCACAGACTTCGTGTGGCAGTGTTTTTTAACAGAAATGTGTTAAAAATTACCTGTGAAGTTAAAAAATATAAATGTGGCACTCCAGGCTTATATATCCACTATCTGCCACATGTGTCAATCAGCATGAAGCTCCTAAATGAGGAAGATAGGGTCCAGGAACCTGCATTTTTAGCAGACTTTCCTGTCGATTCTTAAGCATTTTCCCTTGGCAAGTAAGCACTGGTTGGGTGGGTCATTAATAACCATTTTGTTTTATTGCTAGTAAAAATTTAGGACTCTATTTCAATTTGCAAGTTATTTCCCACTTTGTTCATTTGCTTTAAAAAGTTTTAAAAATGCATGCTTGTTTTACAGGGGCAGAGTTACCAGGTCAAGTTATCTCCATGGCCGCTTCTACTCTGGCAACCTTGGCCATCTCTATCACAGGGTATGAATCAAGCACTGAAGATCCGCCCTCGACTCAGCCGGCAGGTGACTGACCTTATGAAGGAATGCCTTCAAAATCATTCTGGAAAATGAAATATACATAGAATATAAAATTGAGAAAGACACTAGCATTACAAAGTGCTACTTACTGATCCTTCGTTTTCCTCTAATTCCTATTTTTCCATTTTTTCCCTCTCATCTTTGTTCTTACATATCACTTTTTTCATACATTAAAGTATTTACTTTTTTTTTTTTTTTTTTAAATATATCTTTATTGATTTCAGAGTGAGGAAGGGAGAGGGAAAGAGATAGAGAGAGATAGAAATATCAATGATGAGAGAGTCGTCGGTCAAGCCTGCAACCCGGGCATGTGTCCTGACCGGGACTCGAACCCTGATCGCCTGGATCCTAGGTCGATGCTCAACCGCTGAGCCACGCCTGGCCGGGCTAAAGTATTTACTTTCTTAGGTTTCTTACCTTGCTTCTTCATTCTGTCCCTTTAAAAAAAATATATATATATATATAAATTCATTTAATATAGTTATATTAAAAGAAGAGAATTTTATTAAAATATATCTTTATTGATTTCAGAGAGAGGAAAGGAGAGGGAGAGAGAGCTAGAAACATCAATGATGAGAGAGTCGTTGATCAATCCTGCAACCCGGGCATGTGCCCTGACCGGGAATCGAACCCCAATCACCTGGATCCTAGGTTGACGCTCAACCGCTGAGCCACGCCTGGCCGGGCTAAAGTATTTACTTTCTTAGGTTTCTTACCTTGCTTCTTCATTCTGTCCCTTTAAAAAAAATATATATATATATATAAATTCATTTAATATAGTTATATTAAAAGAAGAGAATTTTATTAAAATATATCTTTATTGATTTCAGAGAGAGGAAAGGAGAGGGAGAGAGAGCTAGAAACATCAATGATGAGAGAGTCGTTGATCAATCCTGCAACCCGGGCATGTGCCCTGACCGGGAATCGAACCCCAATCACCTGGATCCTAGGTTGACGCTCAACCGCTGAGCCACGCCTGGCCGGGCTAAAAGAAGAGAATTTTAAATATAGGCATTCTACTATATGTTAATGTTTGTTGCTTTATATGGTTTGAATAATTTTCATGGACTAATTATAATTCTCAGCTGTTTTGTTACATATATATTTGAAGTTTTTTGTTTAAGTTATGTCTATATTAATAGATAGATGTCATAAAAAGCTTGAACAGTATAAAGTATATAGAGTAAAAAGTAAAATATTCCCCATACCCCAGCCATACCTCTCCCCCCAAATTTAGCTAACTTCCACAGATTTAAACACTGTCAGCATATTCAAACATACATTCAAATCTTTTTTTTTGTTTTTAACCCAATGTAGTCATACTGTCAGTACATTTTGAAGGCTTAAAATAGAGGCGCTTAGACAATTTCTCTGTATTACTGTTCACTGATGCGGACTAAGATGCTGGGCTTTTTTTTTTCTTTCCCCCTTCAGAAACCATAGACAGAGAACCCCCTCCAACACTGTCCTCATCTTCTTCACCCCCCTCCCCGTCGCCCACGCTGGGCAGGCAAAGGCCTGAAGTCGGAACGTTCCTTAGAAAGAAGAAAACCAGCGATACCTACTTTGTGGCTCTCGTCTGGGCCATCATTGCAGTCCAGCTCTGGTTGAACCTGTGGATCGTACAGCTGCTGCCAGTGCCGATTGCAGGTAACAGTTAATTAACATCACTGAAAATGTTTTTCTTTTACTTTTGGGTTTTAATGCTTGGGATAATTTCACTCTCTTTTTAAATTAAATGATTGTATGTTTGTATTTAAATAATAAACATTATTTTGGGTGTTTATTACTTGATTCTTCTTTAATATTTCTCTTTTAAGCTAAAAAATGTATTTAGCCTCTTACAGTTTTGTATGGCATTACAGCCCGATAGTGCCACGTGGGGAGTTGACTGTTTGGCCATCATGATTCTGTGGAGGAGAGCGTTAGCAGCCTGGGTTTTGGAGTTTATGATTGAGTTTTGTTTAGTTAATCCTCAGCCAAGGATATTTTTAGAGAGAGTGGAAGGGAGGGAGGAGGGGGGAGAAAGAGAGAGAGAAACATTGATGTGAGAGAGGCACATCGATCAGTTGCCTCCCGTACATGCCCTGACCTGGGATCGAACTCACCAAAAATCAAACCCACAGCCTTTTGGTGAATGGGATGACACTCCAACCAAATGAGCCACCAGGGCTGTCCTAGTCACTTCTTAACCCTCAGGCCATCATAGGAACTTGACACCGTGGAGAGCAGGCCATAAACAGGGTAACCCCAAAAAGGTTTTTTACGGCCTATAAATACCCTGGCCTTATTCTAGAGACTGTGGGAGCTTTCCTAGGACCTCTCTAGAGATTTAAAAATGCTAATGAAGGAATTGTTGAACTAGTATGTAACACTGAATTCATGGTTCAAAGTAGTAAACTGTAAAGCATTAGAAACCCCTGGGTTAAGGAAATTATAGTGGTTGGATCAGTTATCCAAACTTCAAGGCAACCCTCACAGGTAAGTAACACTTCCTTCTAGTCCCAGCACCTTCTTAGTTGGCCTTTAGCTGGAAGCTAACCCCAGCTTGAGGGGCCACCGCACTGCCTAACTATGGAGGGTTATATTATATCGTGGTCTGTGAATGGTCCCCGCTGAAGGTGTGCAGTGCCAGCTTCAGGGGCCATTTGTAACAGCCCTACCTGTGCCCAGCCTGCTTCTCTACTGAACCATGGTAAAAGATTCAGGTGTATAGCGCAACATGAAGTAAAGTAATAGGAACATAAATGAAAATGTTACCTGCGGTGATATGAAATCATGATGTGTGTGAAATACCTTTATTCTTCTGGTCACTAAACAAAAAAATCTAAAGAAAACAACAAGATTTGACACTAGCAGTTATAATAGCCAAGGAGATTAGGACATGTCAGGGGTTAGTATTCTTTACCCCAGAAAGGGTAAGGTATGAAGGACCAAGGTTGTAGTCTGAAATCTTCATGATCAGAGTACCTTGTGTTTATATAGACTGTAAAATAATCCCTGACTCCCTCAGGGATTCAGCCTCCACAAAAAAGGTAGTAAGTATATGGGTAAGTGTAAAAAGTTGTTTGTCGCAATACCATCAATTTGGAATACCTTGGACTTTCTCTTCTCTCCTTTTTAAAAAATTGATCTTTAACTTTAATACTAGCTTTACTGTTTTAAAACGGTCACATGAAACCAAGAGACTTTTTCCCGTTTTAACTTTGTAATCTATATTTTGTTCATACATATTTCTTATCTTCTTTATAGTCTGGATACTCAAAAAGCTTATTATTCACTTTGGAGTTGTGAACTTCCTGGAGAAACGCTGCTGCGTGTGGTGGCAGGTGGTAGAGCACTTCCTGAAGGAGCGGAAGGAAGCTCTAGCTCCGTGGCCAATTATCGGGCTTGGGAAATTCTTGTTAAAAGTTGATAGCAAGGTATTGTATTTTAAGAACTTGGGCTGTTTTAATGGAATTTATATACTTCATTGTCTGAAATACTCCATTTTACGGTATTTAGTATTTATACTAGAATCGAAATCTAATTCTATGATGAAATTTGAAGTTTAGAACTATGGTTTATGTAAGGATAGGATAGATTTAGTTTAAATAATTATAAGGACCAAATTGGAATCCAGAGGGGTTAAGTGGCTTGCCTAGAAATTAGATAGCCAGGTAGTTGCTTAGTTTAGTGGATAGTTTTGGAATAATTCCCATGTGTCAAATATTGTGCTAAGTCCTAGGGAAAAACAGATGAATCACAGAAAACTAGATGCAGAAGCTCTGTTTAGGGAGAGAGAGCAACCCATTAAAATTCAGAGGCAGTGGTTAGCTTCAGAGGCTTAATGGTTTAGAGCATGCACTCTGAATCCAAATTCTGGTTTCAGATCTGAGTTCAGCTACTTATTAGCTATGTGACCTTGGATGAGTTTCTTAACCTTTCTGTGCCTTTGTTTCCTTATCAGTACAATGAATGTGAGAGCATGCACCTTATAGATTGGTTTGTGAGTGTTAAATGAGATAATGTACAGTTCCTAGATCAAGGCCTGGTACACAGTAAGCTTTATGCAAGTGTTAGCCATTATAATTCGTGGAGGAAAAGTAGGTACAGGATATAGTGGTAGTACTGAGCAAAAAACGACTCACTGTTGGTGAGGCAATGGGAGAGGGGCTGTTTCCTAAAGGAGGTGGTGCTGGGGCACATTTTGAAGCCCAAGTAGGAGCAGACATGGCAGGAGCTGCACCTGGATGGAGCAGTGCAAAGGCACAGAGACTTCCACAATGTGAATTCTTGGGAATGCCAAGAAACTGGTCATGGCTGGGATATGTGAAATGATGGTAAGCCTGGAGGGTCAAGTGAGACTGGATCAAGAAGGTCTTTTGTGTGCCATGCTGTGCAAGCTGGACTTTATCACAGAGGCTAGTAACTATTTCCTTTAACAAGTCTATTCATGACTTAAGGTTGAGAAATACTGTTGGGTGAAACCAATGTAGATAGAGATGAGAATAATAACTGAAGTGCATGAAGTGGGAGGAAGTAAATCTTTTCATTGCTTAATGAAATATCCTGGGTCAGAGGAGAAGCAGGGGATGCATTTTCTTGCATATTGCCTGGCTGTCTTCCAGAAAGTTTGCCAGTTTTAATTCCCACCAGTGCAACATACGAGAATATGTACTTCCTTGAGCCCTTGCCAAGGAATATTACAGCGTAACAAAAAGGCCTTTTTAATTTCCTAAAAAGAAATATCTCAATGTTGTTTTAATCTGAAATTTTTAAAATAAAAATGAGGCTGACAATCCTTTGACATGCTTACTGGCTATTTATATATTTTTTTGTAATTTGCCTATTTGTGTTCTTACTAATTTTTTCAACTTTTTAAGTAAAAAAGAATCTAAGACTTAGCATACATTTCAACATATTTATCACATCTCCCTTGTATTGGGGTGAAGGTTTATCTTACTAAAGCAGATTTAGCACTTCAAATGGTTTAAAGAGAGTAACTCTTTTTTTCAGTTCATGCCTTTGTCTTTCCACTGTCTGAATAGAGACTAAATCCCATTTTCAGCATTCTCATGTACTCGTATTTGGAGCCCTTCCTTTAGGAAAACTGTACAGTTGTGTCAGTTAAAAAGTTCTGGGGCATCCAAAAGTATTTGTTACAGGGTAGCCTTGTGAAAATTTGTCAATGTTATTCTAATTTGTTTGCTAATCTGTTCTTGGGGAAGAGAGACAGTAAAATGAATAAAACTAGCATTTTCTGCCATGTATAACAATCAGAATAAATGGCTATCGCAAACTGAATATTTGTTTAATTTAATTGATGCCAAAATTATGTTCTGTCTAATATATAGTAATATATTTGGGCTGTTGCTTTGGGAAATAAATCCATTTTGATTCATTGATTTTGAAATGATCCATCTACAGGAGATTGTTTGAAGTATGTACCTAAACGTGCTTTGGGTGTACTTTAGGGAAAACTCTGCAAAGAGCATTTACAGTCACTGATGGAATTACGCTTTTTATTAACCTTTATACTTTTTATAGCACTAACAATGCCCTGAATCCTATGTTTACCGATTTTTAGATTGTTATGTGTCCACTAACTAGCATTAGTTATTATAGTGCTAAATATTGTGAAGTTTAGATGAGATAACATTTATGTATTATCTTGCTTTTTTGTAGAAAAATGTGTGCCTAAAAAACGGGGGTGGAAGGAAATACATCAAATATTAACCAAATCTTAGCTGTGCCTGCTTTTGGTCAGGTGTCCTCTGTTCCCAGTGAGCACTGAAATGTTTTACTATTTAAAAAATGTGAAATAACTAATACTATAAACCTGCAACTACAAAGTTCAATGAAAATGTAACAATAGGAACATAAATTGGTTTATACAGGGACTAAAAGTCCTTTTGGTGCATGAAATGTGAAAGGGTATTATTACTTTGATCTTTGGAATTTGGTGTGGCTCTTTAAGGGTGCAAGCTTTCAGGTTATTTTATGTATTTTTAATTGAATTGCCAGCAAAGCTTGTGGTTATCATCACTGTAATCATTGTATATCTTAAAGGACTACTGCATTCACTCGATTTTATAACTTTGTTAATGTACTACAGTTTTTGTTTTTTTCTAGTTTTTCTTTTGTCTGGGATAATTTCCTTCTCATGCTCTCAGTGACTGTCTTTTTTTTTTCTTTTCATACTGTTATTGCATTCTCTAATGATATTCCACTGTTCTTATCTTTTCTTTCTCACCTTACCCCCCATCCCCAAGCTCTGGCACTGGCTAAATAAGAAGGTAAATGAACACATGGATGTTGGTTTTTGCTGTTCAATTCTGTAACTTCTCCATTCCCACTCTGTTTCTATCCGTATGTAAAACTAAGTTTTTGTTTTTAAAGTTCTGATTATAAGCTATGGAAGGTCATGAAGCATTGATACTGTCCCAGTACAATTTGCTAAAAACCCAAAGCTCTTTTATTCAGGATATTGGTGATATCTCCCTGCTCAAGTATGTGTAAGAAGTTCTGTCTGGTGGTCCTTTTGTCCTCTGTGATTTCCATTCCTTTTTGGCTCTATAATGTGGCTTAGCCTGACACTCTGGTCTCCTTTGATATGTGGAGAGCACATAGGCAGTAGTTACTGAAAAGGAAAGAGAATTTTTTATTGCTAATTTTTCTGTAAGTGATACAGGAAGTTTTCAGAAGATAAATCTGTGAAGTAATTCCCTAGACTGGTATATTTATGTATGGTCTTTTTTTTATGACTGGTATTCCAATGTTAGTCATGACCTGTGACATCTAATTTCATGTGTTTCCCAAAATATAGGTTGTGTCCATGGTAAATGATTCACATGATTGGCTTGGAATTGTAAAGGTGCATTTTGGGTAACTTCAATAAAAGAATCCAGATGCATTAGGAGTACTGTACCTCTAATATATAGTCTGCATATAGTAGTTCTAGATTTAATTTCATTAAATCCCTAGGACAGAGAGCAGGAGGTGACATCATTTACATGTATTGTGTTTAAACACAATAAGACGAAAAGTTTCCCATGGAAATATCACAGGCTTTAAGAAAGATGTGGTACTTGGAAATAGATCAAAATGACACTTTTATGTGTAGAGATTAGGATTTCATTCCATTGAAACAGGAAAGGGGAGACTTGACAATGCCTAAAGTTTTAAACTTTCGATTGAAAATAAACAGTGTGTAAAATATAGTCACACACCATCACCACCACCACCATACATACATACATTCATACACACGCACACATACACGCGTGCGCACAGGCTCATGTTTGTATATACCTCTCTTTCCTACAAAACTGGTGTAAGTAAAGGAGTTTAATCCTTGGCAGATGATAATGCTGCAACCATAAGTCACATTTTCTTATTTTGATCTAAACCAGGTGGTTTAATGTATTTTCCTAATTTGTATATATATATGTATGGATACATATATATATTGAAGTGAAATTTTCCTCAAGAGATGAAAGGAGCCCTGAAGTCATTAGGTTGATTTCGAGCTAAATGAGTTAGATTACCTAATTTATGAGCCCAGTTTACAGCTGACAGTGAGTTTTAAGATTCCTAAGAGATCAAGTAGCTTTTTTTTTTCCTTGCTGATTCCATGTAGCATAGGTAAAGCATTGGTGTAGAATTGGAGTAACTGCTTGAAGTTCTGAGAGTGTGTGCTTTAGGAAAGCACATAAATAAGTTCAAGATCATTTTATTATTGCATTACATCCAAGATCAGAAAATTGCAGCATTGGGTATTTAGTATTCCAAGCTCAAGTGGAGTGAATTAGGAAACCAAGAGAAGAAGTGAGGGTGAGAGAGAAAACATCTTATGGTTAATTAAATTGCAACCTATTTCTCAAGCCTTAATTGTTTTATTAATATTGATTATATGCACTAAGACTCACCTAGAATTTAGTTAAAAAAACAGCAAAATAAGGACCTACATTCATGATAGAACAGAAAACAAATTAGTGGCACTTTTTAATAGCTTGATAAACAAGGCCAGTGAGTTTAGAAATTTGAGTGTCTTTTGATAGAACTATAAATCTAGCAACATCTCTAAATTTTAAACTTGAAATGTTCAAAATGTTATCTTAAAATTTCTCCTCTCCCCCTTTTAGAAAATAAAGTTTAAAAATTAAAATAATTTCTCAAAGCATGGAAGACAGTTAATTTCTGGGGACTATGGGATTTCCATGAGCAAGACAGTGGTGCCAGGTGGTTTGGTTTCCTTTGCCCAGAGCAGCACAGCACAGGGCCAGCCTTGTGGAGCGGAGCTGCGCCCCTGGTGTTCCTCCAGGATTCCCCTCGGCTCCTCCCCTCCATTGCTTCCTCGGAGCCCGTTTCTCTTTCTGCGTCTGTCTGAGTTTCTGGTTCCTCATGAGTTGCGTTCCCATCCACTCTTTCAGGGAATACTTTTCCTCCATATAAGTTTTCTATCCATTTTGTCTTTTCTCCTCTTTTGGTTCTCAGTTTTACATACCAACTCTCCCCTCTCCACATTTTTTTCTTTTATCTGGACTTTTTCTATCTCCCTTTATTTATTTTTTAATCCTCACCTGAGGATATTTTTTTTATTGATTTTGGAGAGAGAGGGAGAAACATCCATTGGTTGCCTCCCATATGTGCCGTGACTGGGGATTGAACCCACAACCTGGGTGTGTGTCCCAATTGGAAATCGAACCCACAACCTTTTGGTGTACCAGACGACGCTGCCACCCACTGAGCCATCTGGGGGGGGCCTCCTCCCTCCCTCTCTCCCCCCTCCTCTCCCCCTTCTCTTTCTCTCTCTCTCTTTTGCTATCTCTTTTTGTCATGTTTTTTGCTTTGTTTTTGTTTTTAATTTAATCTTAGGCAGCCACAATGTGAATAGAAACCCCTTTGACTTTTTTAGCTTATGTATTAAGCATCCTAAATGACTTTATTTATTTTAAATTTTGAGTGAAGCAACTAACCCTTACTGTTATCCCTTGAATATAAATTTTTATTTAGGTGACTCTTCGTATGCCTTTTTCCAACCCTTAGTTGTATGGCTTGTGATAGGAAAAGTCTACCCTTGTTGAAAAACATAACATTTGATTTTGTAATGTTGGTATACATAATGTGTTTGTGAATATTCCATGTTTTATATGTTAAAAATACCCAGACATAAATTTAGATATTTATACTATGTAAATAGAACATAATTTATATTTAAAAATACTTTTCTTAAAAAAAAAATTTGAGGCTCCAAGTTATTTTTAGAAACTGTACACAAATGGTCTTAATTCTGAAATTATTTTACTTATTCCTACCTATTCAGATGCATATTAACTGAGCCTTTTCTGTGTGCCATGCACTGCTAGGTTTGGGAGAAAAGGGAGGAGCGATACAACACTGGCCCTTTCTTCAGGAAGTGGTCTTCAGAACTAGGTGTAGAGTTGGTTTCTGATTGTGAAACTCTCCAGTTTCATTGATTTTAGAACTAACATTCAAAATATGACATCTGACCTTCCATATCTTAGAAACCTGTTATTTTATTTTTTTTAAATCTCTGCATTGTCTGCAATGCTTTGGTAGCATGCACTGAAAATTAACTCTTCTGTTTGAAGCTGTAATTGTCAAAATAGAAGATGAACTTTTTATGTTTGCATTTACCTATAGCATTGCTCTCTTAGCAACAGTATCCTTCGTGAAAGATAAGGGGAGTGCAAGCTTGTAAGCCTTGAGTGAAAAATAAATTTTTAAGAAGTCATGTTGTGTGTTTTTTAAACCACCTTCTTTGCTTTTGGATGTTTAACTCACTGTTTGGATAACATATGTCAGATTTAAGTTAATAACTTATTCAGCAATACTGTAGCTCATGTTGGAGTTGAAGGGTGCAATGTGGTTTTCAGCATCATAAGTATAATTGATAGTATTTTTGAAGTGTTAAATGGTAGCTTTGCATAGCAGAAATTCTAGAAGTCTATCAGAATGATATATTCTGAAAATAAAAATTTTTTGTATGTAGGATTATTTGTGATTGTGAAAAAAGAGAGAAGTTATACTCAAAATAGAATGTCAAAATAGAGTGTCAGATAGCATTTAGGGAGCATAATTTTAATTATTAAGGAATAACCACTGCATTAATGATTATTTTTTATTTGCAGTTACTTATAATTTGTCATAAAGCTCGTGTTTTAAAAAAGAATAGGAATTTCCAGTAGAATATCAGGTTTTTAAAAGTATTTTATTATGAATTATTTTAAATATTAAAAGATGTAAAGAATACCTGTGTGCCTACCCTCCAGCATGATAAAACATTACTTATATAATTGAAGCCCATTTTGTATTTCTCCCAGCCAGAGTAACTACTATTCTGAAATTGGTATTAATCATTACCTTAACATTTAGATTTTTGTTATTACTGTTTTGGTAACCCTAATGGCATCAAAGGGAAAACATATATTGAAAATATTGATAATTTTTATTTTAATTTGCTCCTATTTTATCTATATATAATTTAGGGCATACCTGTTTTATAAAAGGCATATTTTTCTAAAGTCATCTATATTTGCTAATTGACAGTAACACTTAATAAGATTTGAGGTCAGCTAATGGATTGTCATTATTTGCTTTAGAATATTTACCATATTTTTAAATTTTTATTTATTTATTTTTTTAAAATATATCTTTATTGACTTCAGGGAGAGGAAAGGAGAGGGAGAGAGAGAGAGATAGAAACATCAGTGATGAGAGAGTCATTGATCGGCTGCTGCCTGCAACCCGGGCATGTGCCCTGACCAGGAATCAAACCCTGATCACCTGGATCCTAGGTCGACACTCAACCGCTGAGCCACGCCCGGCTGGACAAGAATATTTACCATATTTTAAATTATGGTTTGAAATGTAAATATACCACAGTATCAGCATTCAGACATAAAGGTTATGTTCAAATTGACTGTTTTTCTTAGATATGACAAAAATGAACTCTTTATATTAGCAGCAGTAATTAATACTGTTAGTTAATATTATAAAGTTGCTTATAGCTTTCACTGCTTTAGTCATTCTATAGTTTGCTTTGCAAAGCTGAATACCCTATTTTGTCTTTATTATATCGGAATGCATATGTCTTTTTATTAAGCTGTACTTTACAGCTAAGCAATTCTCTTTTTCATTTCTGTGCAGATGATCATCTGGCTGGAGAAGATGTTAGACAAAATAATTAGCATTTTCATCATATTTTTGTTAGTGATAGGAACCCTTCTTTTAGCCCTGCTCCTGACTGCAAAGGTAAGGTACAATACTTACTATTACCATTAATAAACTCTTTAATTGTTATAATTCTAGTATGGATAAGAAGTTGGTAGGAATAATATGGAGAATGTTACTTTGCTTGTAAATATGTATAATAGCTAAAACATTTATAATTTTTATACTACTAGTTTTGCCATAAGTTTGCCTAGTATGTTTTTACACACATTTTTATTATCTTAAAAATCCTCAGGTAAATGCAGATGAAAAAATTGAGGTACGGAGGAACAAGTGGCTTCTTCTGTCAATAGGAAAACTATAATCTTGTCTTTCGACTCCTAATCTAGCTAGTACCCTGTTTACTAGATCAGAATTTTTTTTTACTAGTTCCTTCCTTTCTTGTCTCATTGGTCTTTCTGCTGATACACCATAGGACTTTTATTTCCCCCTTTCCAGGTCCTTCCAGCTTACATTTCCTCTCCCTCTTTTGGTTCAGATTGCTGTAACAGAGTTCCATAAACTAGGTGGCTTGGACAACAAATATTTCTCTCAGTTCTGGAGGTGGAAGTCCAGATCAGGTGCCAGCATGGTTGAGTTTTTGGTGAAGGCCCTCTTCCTGGTTTACATTTAGCTGTCTTCTCTTTGTATCCTTACATGGCGGAGAGAAAGGTCATCTCTCTCTTGTGCTCTTATAAGGGCACTAACCCCATTCATGAAGCCTCCATCCTCATGACCTAATTACTTCCCTGCCTCGTAACCATCACATTGGAGGTTAGGATTTCAGCAAATGAATTTGGGGGAAAGCAAACATTCAGTTCTTAACACTCTCATCTCATCAAAGAAAATTATTCTCCCAAGTGCAGCTGAACGTTTCTCTCCAGTTATGTCTCTTACTTACTTTTGTTTTTCTGATTTGTATAGTGTATTTTGATCTTTAGTTTATCCGACTTTGCTGAACTCCAAATTCCAGAGTTTTTTTTTTTTAAACATATCTTTGTTGATTTCAGAGAGAGGAAAGGAGGGGGAGAGAGAGAGATAGAAACATCAATGATGAGAGAGTCATTGATTGGCTGGCTGCCTAGCCCGCAACCTGGGCATGTGCCCTGACCGGTAATCAAACCCCAGTCTTCTGGATCCTAGGTTGATGCTCAGCAGCTGAGCCACGCCCGGCTGGGCTCCAGATTTTGATAAGCTGTTTTCAAGGAATCATGAAGCTTACAGGCAGTCATGGATATGAAAAATTTTAATGTAGTACTATAGAGATATAGAGCAATTATTACTGATCAGTAACCTAACATGCAGCCTTTTGCTAAAGTATTGCATTGTTTTTTGCTACATGACGTCTCTACTTGGGCGTCCTATTCTCTGTTATTCTCAGCCTCAGTATGCCCCCAGTCTTACCATTTGCTCCTAAAAACCTGCTCTCTTCCCCTAGTTGGTTTGGCTCAGTGGTTAGAGTGTTGGCCTGTGGACTGAAGGGTCTTGGTTTCGATTACAGCCAAAGGCACATATCTTGGTTGCGGGCTTGATCCCTGGCCCCAGTTGGGGTGTGTGCGGGAAGCAACCAATCGATCTCTCTCTCTCCTCCTCCTCCCGCTGCCCCCTTCCAGTCTCTCTGAAAAGTAGTGGGAAAAATATGCTTGGGTGAGAATTTTAAAAGAACCCCAAAACCTGCCCTCTCAGTACCTGTATTTCCATCTCTATGTACTTCCTATCTGTTCTTTGGGTATTAATCATGTGTAGTCACTTAATATAAACTGTACAGACTTGGTTAGAGACTTTGCTTTGTTTTTGTGCTATTTCACCTACCCCTACCACTCTGCAGTCGTATCTTCCATTCTTACTCTTAGAGAAACCTTCCACCAGGATGGTCTTCCGTTTTTCCTTTCTTCCCTTTCTCCTCTCTCTCCTGCTTGTCTTCTATTCCACTTTTTCTTCTTTGTCCCTTTTCATTGGGCCTTCTTGCCTCCCATCTCAATTAGTTTCTCTTTCTAGTTTTTTTTTCTTTGCTCATTTTGTTCGGTGAGCTTTTGTTTCCCTGAACTTTCATAACATACGTTACTGAACCACTTCTTTGTCGTCTGGAACTCATGCAAACTGAGCTTTTGAAGGAAACTTGCTGGTTATCTAGTTTATTCTCCCAGCCGATAAAGGGCTCATTCTCTAAAACACCATGACAATACCCATGTGAATGTCTAATGGACGTCTGGAATGTAACTGAATTTCAGACCTTCCCTCGCTGGTCTGTTCTCATTTTAGCAAATGACAGCTTCATTCTACTTGCTCAGGTGAAAAGCCTCAGGGTCGTCCTTGATTGCTCTCTTTCGTATCCATATCCAGTTTGTTAGAGGATCCTTTTTGCTTCCATCTTCTTAATATACCATAGGGTAATAGCAGAGTGAGGATATCAGGTAATTGCTCACAGAAAGCAAGAATAAAATGGTATAAAATTTTTTTAAAACACCGTATCAGGACATTGGAAAATGGCCAGTTAGGCAACAGCTTGAGGAGTATTTGCTCATGAAAAACTGCTACTGCACCTGGTAAAACGTAGTTTGTGTCTATTTTGCATGGAGTTACTCTCATTGGATTCGGTTTGGGGCTGACAATAGAGCAGCTGTAAATTAAAGGGGGAGATTCTGGAAGCAAGAAAGCCATAGAAGGGCTGAAATTAATAAATCACATATCTTAGACTGATTGTTAAACTGTGCATGTGTATGGGAGACCCCAAGAAGCCTGTTCCCTGACATTGGCTTGCTCTTTTTTTTTTTTTATCTCCCTCATTTTGCTGATTATTGGGCAAGGTAAATTTGGAGCAGTTTCAGTTGGTTTTTTTTTTTTACTCAGAAACCTTACTCGGTTGCTTATATTTGCCTGTGTTATCTTGTATCGCGTTATAATTCTTTAAGCTTATGTAGTATTGATACTGTTTACATATATACACATGCATATTATATGTATATAAATATATATACTTGCGCTATACACATATATGTGAACTAAATATATATTATTGTGTATATGTGTATTTGTGTGTATCTATTTACATATTTTTCCTTAAGTAAATTGTTGAGATTTTTGAAGGCAGGGCCTATTATGTACATTTTATTTCCCATAGTGTATGTCATAGAATATTATGTATAGCAGCTGTTCAATGCAGGTTTCTAAATTAATTGTAATTAAGATGTATAATTATTTGACTCTAAAATATTGCTCCAATAATAGTATAGAAAAATAAATGTTAGGTTGGGTTTATTTTTTATTGAGATCTCTTCTCTCTTCCTCTGTGATGCAGGTACATCAAGAGAGCGTGCACATGATTGAAGTCACAAGCAGTTTGATTAATGAAACTCTGGCAAATCACCCTGAGTGGGCAAAGTAAGAATATTGCTTTACGACAAAAATAGAGTCGGATGACCTAGGTTCAGCATGTGTTTGCATGAAATGATCGTTGATGCAGCTGCCTTGGAAGAGAAAAGATGGGGTTTGCCAAAGCTTTGATGAGGGTTGTCATTTTTGCATAAGAATTGCATATAATATGGGAGAGGGGGTGGTGGGGTTGTGCTTAAGGTTTTGGAAACCATTATAGTAAATGATAGCTTAGATTTGAATTGAGATTTACAGTTTACAGTATGTTTATAATTTACGAAGCACTTCCACCTACGTTTCGACCTTTCTTTCTTATAATGACTGTACAGTAGGTTGAAGAGATTATCCCCATTTTACAGATGAGGAAACAGGGTCAAAGCTTAAGGAACTTGAAATAATAGTCCACCAGTTGCAGGGTCAGCACTCACACCCAGAGTTTCTGATCAAGTACCCTTCTGTGTAGGAGGGTTTTAAAAGCTGTTTAGACTTTCATGATTCATGGAAGGTCTGATTCTTTTGCAGCAAATTAGTGGGGATGGATATGAATTAATAGTAATGATTTCTTGCAAATATCAGTATTCAGTAGATTCCTGTCCTGAAGAAGGCAGTTGACCTTGTAAGAAATTCTGTGGATTTTCCTGGAGGGGATCGATCAGATATATTATCTTCCAATATGGTGCACATTTTATGTGCCCTGTGTAGGTACCTTGACTTCCTGTGGATATGCTTGGTGAGCTGGTGGATAAATTAGAGAGACTTAGGGTAGGGACGTCCTAGCAGAGCTTCAAAGAAAATGCAGTCAGAGCACATCTTAATTGTTGTCTTGGACAATTCTTTTAGTCCGGAACCCACTTTCTACTCTCTACTGACTAGAAAGTATATAGAAACTTGATAGGCCACATGCTATGTTGGGAACTTCCTTTTACTTCTATATAATTCTTGGGGCTGTTCTCTTGGAAGGTCATATTGTGATAGAGATTAACCTTTTCCCAGGAAGGTGAGGGTAGGCCAGTTCAAATTGTAGGAACTTGATTTCTACTAAGAGTAAGAGAATTAGTGATTGGCTGAGGTAGTGAGTATCCTAAGGAAGGAGCTCAATATAGAGGCTGTGGTTGGTGTACGATCAAGGCTCATCCCAGTTGGTCCCTGCCAAGTCTGCTCAGGTATTTTTGGCCCCATATCTCCTAGAGGGCATTTGTTACAAGGAGGTCTAGGCTGAATGAAGGCCTTTGACTTGACCTCAGGACAGCTCCTCTTATCTGTTGCTGTGATACATTTTATTTTCCATAGTGTGTGTCATAGAATATTATGTATAGCAGCATTTCAGTGCAGGTGCACGAGGATGTTGGTGAAGTGTTTTCACTGAAGCCAGAAAGACTTGTTATCAGGCCTAATAGATGTTTGTTAGTCATTAAGGATCTATCCAGATGCCTCTGTGAATCCTCACACTTTCGAATATCTCTATAGGATATCATTTTCTGCATAAAAATGTAGTACCATATAATTGAAAATATTCAGCAGTCCCTTCAAACCACTGTTGAATCTATAAATACTAGGGTAATTTAAAAGCTACTTAAATTAATTTCTCCTAGATCACATCTCATTAGATATCCAAATTTCCTTTTCATATCCTTATACTGTAAGATTATTACATTTATAAGTACCTCTAAAGTTTTGTCTTCCTTGCTGAGAAACACTTGAACTGAGAATTTGCAAAAAGTTTCAAAAATATTTTGTTTATGTGAAGTGTATGATGAACTGGTTAATATTAAAAGCTCAGACCAGTTTGTGAATGTCAATATTTCTAGTATACAACATTGGGAGGAGCAGTGAAGAGAATATATGAAAATATTTTCTCCTTTGGAAAACATTGGGCATATGTCACGTATTATTAAGTCAAATGCCTGTTTAGTTGACAAGAAAATAGGGAGGCCACCTCGCAGTACCACACAGGAGGGAAGTTTGTAGACCGCAGTTCTTTGTACCGAAGGAACTCTGCTCAGGAGTTCCTCGTATCTTTTAAAGAAAAAGATCTTCAATGAACAGAAAATTGAAAACAGTTATTTACCCTCTCATTTTTTTTATATTCTTCCTCAGTTCTCCAGTTCCTTAGATCAGTGGTTCTCAAATGTTAGTGTACACCAGAATCACCTTCAGGGCTTGTTAAGGTACTGATTGCTAGGCTCTAGCCCCAGAGTTTCTTTATCAGTAGGTCTGGGTTTGGGCCAGGTTTCTAAGCAGTTCTGATGCTGCAGGTCCATGGACCACAGTTTGAGAACCACCATTGTGCGTCCCAGATTCTGACCATCAGTGTCCCAGAACCACCTCTGGTGCTGTGTGCATAAGGCAGGTGACTCAGGACTTGAGGGACAGAGAAACCCATCGCAGCAGAATGACAGAGAGGTTGTGGGGAAAGTGGATCTAAAAGATAAGGAAGGCTTGAAAAGAGATCCTAAATATTAGAATTAGGCCTAGAGGTCAAGGATTCCTGTGTGTGATTTCATCTTTGTTTCTGCGTTGATGACTGATCAACATTTCAGCAGTTACTGATTGTTTAAGTACATTGAGTTTAAAAAGTTATTGGTGCAATACACTAGAAGTGTACTAGTTTTTCATTTTTTTTTTTTCTTTCTTTCTTTTAAATTAGTTGGCTTCCTGAGGCTCAGGTAGTCCAAAGAGCCCTCAATTCTGCTGCTAACAATGTATATCAGTATGGTCGAGAATGGATAACCCACAAGGTAAGGAGGAGCCTCTCTTTGTGGCTTTCTCTTTGCAAGGTCTTTATTAGTATTGATTTCTTGTTTCGAGAAAGACTTGGTCAGCTAAGACTTCACACTAGTTAAGTACTGACTTACCATCCCCATTTCGTAGATGAGGTTATGTGCCTTACGTTAATCAGTTCGCAAATGGCATTTTGACTGCCCTTAATGCTTTATTGTTTTTCATATGCAAAAAGCATGTCACATATCATCAACAGTGTGTATGCTTTAGTGATTTAACAGCAGTGATTTATGACTCTATGCTGTGGCCCAGTCTTCCCAGTTTTATAACATGCTGTAGAATTATTCTGGACTCCCCTTTACTGGTATAGTTGTGGTATTTTAGCTATTAGCTGTTCTGTTAGGAGTGAGACTGCTAAAGGAGATGTCAATTTGAAATGGTGCCTTATTGCAATAAAGGCCACTGTGCAGACAGTCTAGAAAAGAGGCTATCAGTAACGTAAATTCTAGGCCTCTTCTGGTTAAAGGGAGATTTCAGAAGCTGATAGGAAAATGACAGAAAAAATTGGTAATAGGAAGTCTGTATTTGACAGTCATAATATATAAAAGACAAATTTAAAGAAACTAAAGGAAGTTAGACTAGGGGTAATTGTGATTTTTAATTATTTGGGGTAATTTGCTCTACTAGGTGTTATAAAAGACAAATTTAAAGAAACTAAAGGAAGGTAGACTAGGAGTAATTGTGGTTTTTAATTATTTTGGGTAATTTGCTCTATTAGGTGTTCTTTGTTCAGCGGTTATATAGGCTCGAGTTGAAAGAACATTAGAGAACTTTTAATTCTGATTCTGCCCCTTGTCTCCAAGACCCTGGGCCAGTCATAGATCATTTCTAAATCTGTTTTCTCAAAAGAACAAAGGTGATGACAAAACTATTTTCTGTCTAGCTCTTAGAGTTGTAAAGATCACATAATGTAGGTGAAAGCCATTTGTGAATTGTAAAATGTGATAAAAAGATAAATGGCTTTGATATTCAGTGATTTATGTTTGATTTATGAATAAATAAACCTAAAGGAAAACATTGGGCAAGTATATTTGCATCAAATATGTCTAAGAGCTGGTTTAACTATTTGTAAGGCCAACATCAAGTGGGAGAAAGGTATGACTACGCCACACAAAGGGAAATACACATTGAAAACCAAAATGGAAAATGGTCACTCTCATCACTAAAGAAAAAAAGTATAAATAATTAGTTACTATTTCACACCTATTAAATTATCTAAAAATTTATCAGTTATCCATGGTGGAAAGTAATAATTGGTAGGATTCTTATAGAAGACAATTTAACAATTCATAGCAAGAATCATTAAAAATGCTCACTTCCTTTGATACCTGCACATATATCTTATTGTTAGAAATGAGAAAAATAATGTGTATAAGGATGCTCATTGCAGTGTTACCATGACAGGAAAAATTGGGAACCATCTATATATCCTATGATTTGATGCTTAAATAATATAACAACTTAATGAACTAATATGAAACTATTAAAAGTAAAGGTGAAGGTTAGTGATGAAGGCTAAATATGAAATGCTTATGATGTAAAAGACAGAATTCTAAATTACGTCAGTGTAAACAGGCAGAAAGTTGCAAAGGAAATGAAGAAGTAGCCAGTTTTATGAAGGAAAGTGAGACTACAAATCTGTGTGTCCTTTTAAAAGTATCTTTAATATTACCATATGGTATTAATAACATAAAATGTGGGATGAGATATAATGCATAACCTTTCTCTAAGTTACCTCAAGCGTACTTGATTCTCACTCATCCTGAAGCCAGTCTGCTCAGTCACAACTCAGAGACCCAACATCTCTCAGCAAACTAACAGAAGTATTTGCGTTTCTAGCTAAGGTTCGGAAATGTCACTTAAAGTTCTATGGCGGTTCTTAGTAATAGTGATATATGTAACATGAGAATCCTGTATAATGGGTGGGCACTGGGGTCACATGGAAAGATTTTTCTCCGGGCAGATATGCTCAGAGAAGTCTGTAATCATGGCTTTATTTCTACTGTTCTCTTACAGCCTCAAGTAGCTCTCCTTGAGACCTAAGGATAGAGGAAAGAAAAAAGAAGCAAAAGATGAGAGAGAGGAAATTACTGGGAATGTTGAGGAGCAAAGTTTATGGAAAGAACATAATGTGGCTAGAGGCAATTAAATAGTCTGGAACATTTCAGTTTGATTTGGAGCAAATGTAAAGACCCAGCATGTATTCATTTACTGGATTATTGCCTGAAATATTAAACTAGATTATATCTGTATTTCTCCCAGCTTCATAAAATTCTCGGAGATAAGGTGAACAATACTGCTGTGATTGAAAAGCAGGTCCTAGAACTTTGGGACAGACTGTATCATTCTTGGTTTGTAAAGGTAAGTTATTTTAGCTAGAGAATTTCAATTGTAAACTAATGAAGTCCTTTTATTTTAAAGACCTAATGACTGTAGATAGGATTGTATTAATACTGGGATTTCATTTATTGACATTTTTAAGCTGTAAGGTCTTAAACCTTAGGTCACTAAAAGTCAGAGTGATTGATGGTTAATCTCCATGGCAGAATCCACCAGTCCCTCTGGTGTTTCGGTGTTGCATCTGCTGTTCGTTATCATCGATGGCATCTCATTGTCTAGACTAGCTCTGTGCAACAGAAACATAATGCAAGCCACCTACTATTAATTTTTCTAGTGGCTGCATTAAAAAAACAAAGGTGAAGTTGTTTATGCATTGCTCTTTTAAATCTGGTTATTCCTGCCAATGTAATTCTCTCCCAGAGAGACAAGTTAGATCCCCCTTGTTTCTTTTCATATTCGTTCCCCCCGTTTTATTGAGATGTATTTGACACATAAGTTGTATTAGTTTTAGGTGAACTTTCCCACATTTTTCTCTCCCCTCTGCTCTCTTTATCTTGTACGAAAGGTTAATAAGGGAGATGAGGAAAGGAGGAAAAAAGCACAAATGAGAGACCAAGAAAAAGGTAGATGAAAAAGGAGGGGGAAAATGAAAGTAATTGCCGTATTTGTGTACAGTTGAATACACTGAGGAATAAAGTGTGTTCACAGATGTACTTAGGAGGGAAACCCTTGAGCTTGGCTGAGACTCAGGAACTAGCATGTAAACTGAAAAATACTACCTTTTAGGTCTTTAGGTGGAGTTTTGTGTGTTTTTTTTAAATATATTTTTATTGATTTTTAGAGGGAGAGGAAGGGAATGGGATAGAGAGATAGAAACATTGGTGAGAGAGAAACATCACTGATTGGCTGCCTCCTGCACGTCCCCCTACTGGGGATTGAGCTGAAACCTGGGCATGTGCCCTGATTGGGAATTGAACTGGTGACCTCTTGATTCATGGGTTGACACTTAACCACTGAGCCACACCGGCCGGGGTAGGTGAAGATCTTAATTTATTTCTTAAATAATGCAAAGTTTTTCACTTATTTGTATTTACTAAAGTGCTCAAGTAGACCTTAAACAACATAGGTTATTTATACTTTCTGTTCTTTAGATTAAGATGGAGATTTCATGTCTGAACTGTTTTATTCTATAGAACGTAACACATTCTGGACGGCATAAAGGACACAAGATGCATATAAGTCGTCAGAATAGCTGGCTGGGAGACATTTTGGACTGGCAAGACATCGCTTCCTTCGTCCACGAGAACATTGAGACGTTTCTTTCCGTAAGAAATCGTGTTTATAGTTAAACTGGACTTAGAAGTAAAAACAGAAACACCAATTTTCAGTCTCCTTTACACACTTAAAGGCCTTTAGTTACCCTGTTTGTAATACCACAATGTGCAGTTTTCAAAATTCTAAATGCACTAGAAAGATGTCCCAAAGCCGTAGATCTCAGGTGTAGCTGCCCAGATGCCGCCTCTCTGGCTGAAGAGTGATCTAGAGATGCTGAATCAGGAAGCATATGCATGGTGCTGTGGCTCTTGGATTCTGGGCTAGGGACCCTTGTCCCTGGTGGCTGACCAGAATGTCCCCAGCTAGACCACTAGAGACGGAGCTGCCTTTCTGATGGATGAAGCCTGTTGGCAGATGGAAATACGGTTTTCTCCCCCATGCGCCATCCACCTCTGCCTTTTTAAATTTTATTTTATTTTTTATTACAAAGGATAGAGGCAGCAAGGAACAGTTAGCAGTGTTGCCAAGTTTCGACAACCGCTCTTCATTCTGTAGTGTACTTTGTGGGGTGCCTCATCCTGTGGCTTTTCACAGAGATGAGAAGAATGTTATTGTGAATAAACTTGGGACTTGCATCAGGTTAACAGAAGTCAAAGTTTGCAATGCTAGATTTGATTTGATTTTAAAAATTTATTTATTGAATTCATTGGGGTGACGTTGCTTAATAAAATTATATAGGTTTCAGGTGTATACTTGTATAACACATCATCTGTATATTGTATTTTGTGTTCATCACCCCAAGTGTAGCTTTTTCTGGATATTTACCTCTGAATTTCTGAAGTACTGTTTACGCTGTTCTTTCTTGGTTTTGCAATTTTAGATATTATCTTTTGGCTTTTCAATATGGAAGATGAAGGTAAAGACGTGACTGACTTACCAGTCCCTCGGTGCTCTCCTACTCTTCCTTTGGGGTTTTCTTACAACTCTTTTGGTTCCTACCCCCATTCCTGCACTCACACTTTCCCTTCCTCCCATTTACCTAATAGAGCTATTGCAGTTTGAAATTAAGTATTTATTTTTACCATCATAGTTGTAATGTGCAACAGCTCTTTCTTATATTCTAAACCTTCCTTCCCAATCCCCTTGAGTACACAGAAAGGTTACTTGATCTTGGCGACTACCAGTCTCCAATTAATGAATTCAGTTAATTTCTTAAGAATTAATTACCACAGGGCATTTCCTATCAGTATGAACCCAGAAAGTATTCCAGACTTTTTTTTGATAAAAATTCCAAAATGACTGAGGCCCCCAAAAGAATGCTTGTCAAAATCACAAGTAAGGGCATTGTTGGTTTGTGTTTTGGAATCAGTGCCATTATTCATTCATTCCTTTACCCCACAGGGTCAAACAGTCAATCATGCATATTTTTGTAGGTATTGTGAAACATTTTCAAGATTTTATGTAAGGAGTTTTTGTAAATGAAACCAGCCTGCCAAAGTTCTCTTAGGAAGACTGAGCTGAGGTTTGCAAGAAATGCCGAGGACAACAAAATGTGCCTTTATAAATGGTACATTCGAGGTAGGGAAGGAATGGATGGGCCTTTCATAGCACAGATGGTGTAACTTGAACATATGACAGAAAACAGAACTGCTATTTTGGAAAAGGCACCAAAATAAAATCAGACGTTACGAGTTCTTGTCCCGGCTCTAGTTCCACATATTAGCTCTCTACCCTTGGGCAAGTTTTTAAAAAACTCTGAGCTTCAGTTTGCATATCTATAAAATAAAGATGATATCATCTGCATTTCTTCCCTTACAGTGTTGCGAGCTTTATGGGATGAAAACTAAGGGAAAGTGTTTCTGATCATTTTTCTCCCATGTTTTTCATTACTTTGGGAGAATAGAACGGACATTATCATAAGGGAATTTAAGTTTGTGAAGAACCAGGAAATGAAAACATGTAGGTGTGCTATAGATAATATATATCTTCCTCTAGTAATATTTAATGTATATTAATAACCTTTATTTTAGTATCTGGTTCTAATAAATTTGCAGGTGATGGATCAACTGAACTCAGTAGGTCTTAATATAAGGGTCCTGGTCCATGTGAGGAACGATTTTCAGCTGCAGAGCTCTGCCTCTGACCCTGTTTGTTCATTTCTTTTATTGTGATTTTAGTGAACATGCTTTGGTAGTTGTGGATGAAGCTAAGTTGAAGGTGGCAAGGGGGAAGGAAGGTAGTAAGACAAATGCTAGAGTTTCAGACCTCCACTTGTGAGGCAACAAGTTAAGTATGACCTCAGGCTGCATTTTGACATTCTCCTATAGGTATTTTTTCTGTGCATACTATTTTTACATAGTTGTAATCACGCTATCTATACAATTTTTCTATCTTGCTTTTTAAACTTAGCATTATATCATAAAATATTTTCCCATGTTATAATAGAGATGATTTTAATGGCTGCCTAAAATTACCTGGAGTAGATTCACCATAATTTACGTAATCATTTTCTTTACTAATCAATATTCAGATGTTTTCAGATGATTTTTTTTTTCCCACTTAAAATAATAATCAGTTCTTGTCTTTTCAGTTTATGGCACTATATTAAAAGCACATTAGATGCCTGTAGAAACTTCTTTCCTGAGGATTATTCTGAGATTTAGCTTTTCCTCTCTCAGATCTTGGAGTCTCTGTGGATTGTTATGAGCCGGAATGTGAGCCTGCTTTTCACCACTGTCACGACGCTGCTGACCATCCTCTTCTACAGCGGGACGGCCCTGCTCAATTTCGTACTGTCTCTGGTATGTACATCTAGATAAGAACACAGCACTTTTCCTTCCGCAGTTAAGCATATTCTTGGTGCCATTTGTGTTTGCTTCCTGTAGTTTCCAAATGTGATTTTTTAGGAGATACTGTCCTTTGTTTTGCAGATAATTTTCCTGACCACACTATTTTATCTATTAAGTTCCAGTGATGAGTACTACAAGCCAGTGAAGTGGGTGATAAGCCTGACACCACTATCTCAGCCAGGTCCTTCTTCTAATATTATTGGCCAGTCTGTGGAAGAAGCTATCAGGTAGGGATAAGATTTATGCTGTTCTCATTTCCTTCAGAAACTTCTTTCCATGAGAAGCTTGTTTTCTGTCTTGAGCCTTCCTAGTAACGTTCAGTGGTCACCTAGTGAGGGAACTGGTATCTTCAACACTCTATCTCCTTTGGAGAGGATAATCTAAGCAGCGAGAATGTTGATAAAAAATTCAAAACAGTTTCAATATCGTACCCTGAAGCCTGTGGTTTACAAAGATTTAATGGCCTGTCCCCATCAGCTTTTCTTCTGTAGGCTCTTGCTGTAGCTGCTAATCATCATGTCACTTGCTCACACATACACCTCGCCTTCTCTCAGGACTCTCCACTTCTCAGGAATTCCAGCTTTGCCCAGGGAGGGAGTAGGTGACTTCCCTGGTCCTCCCTCTTCCTCTCTTCCTCTGCAGCCAGGCTGTGCCTTTTGTAGGGGGTAGGTTGGATATGTTATATTTAAGTCATAGCCTCTGTGTGTGTTGCCGGTTCTGGCCAGATACTTCCATCATGTTTCCTGGGATCCCTGTATTGCAGGCTTGGTTTCTGATTGAAATGGTTCTTCAACATTTATTCTTCATATGCTCTTTCCAGGTCACAGTCTCCTGCCCCCTTTTCTTTTTTCTTTTCATCATTTCCAGTAGGGAGAGGCCTTTTAACTCATTAACACTTTACTATATTTTTACTTTAAAAAAAAAAATTACTTTGTTTTGACAGTATTACAGATGTCTCTCATTTTCTCCCTTTTTGCCCCCTTCCACCCAACCTCCACCCCATCTCAGACCTTCCCCTACATTTTTACTTTTTATGAATAACTACTCATGTTAAATTCTCGTGTTATCTATTAGAGCTCCTTTTTCTAATAAGTTAGCCAGGTGGTTATAAGTTTCTCTTGAATCGTGAATCTTTGGCTGGCATTTCTGTTTCCACATACTTGTAAAAAATATCATTGCTTGGAATTGTAACAGGTCTTTTGCAGAAATCTTGATTTAACCCGACAATCCTGTCTGACTGAGCTTGGCTTATTTTTTCACTGTATTCATGTTACAGCTGGTTACATGATCTTTGGAAAACCCTCTTACATTTAAGTAGGATGATTGCTCCTCAAATATCTTCTCTGGAAACTGGTAGGTTTTCTCCCGTTTTCCTACTAGCAAGGCCTGGATAATGTCTTCGTCAGTATCTTGCTTCCTTGATTAGAAATCAGTTTTTTTTATTTTGAATTTTTTAAAAAACTTCTTATTTACTGTGGTGTCCTTGGGTATCCATGTGGACCCATCTATGCAGAGATTCCAAGTTGGGAGCTTCCAGGGTGAAGCTCTTTGTCAGAGAGAACTTACTGGCTTTAGCGCACCTGAGCCCATACGACTGTTGCTTGTCATCTGTATTGAGTGAGTGATGAAAACTCCAGCAATAGATTAACTTTAATTGATCTAAGTGACATCTGACTCAAAATTACCAAAAAGGAAAGCAACTGTCTATCTTTCCTGTAGAATAAAGCTATCAAATCAACCATCTCAAAGCCTGTCAGAGTCCTCTAGTCAGTGTGACTTAAGCCAAGCTTTACAGAAAAATATCTACCTTGTCCATAAAGAACTTCAAGAAATATACTTTATTTTCCTAAAGTAATCTTTATTAGCACTGACTCGTATTCTCACAAAAGCTTTTCTACCTTCAACTCTGTTTTCGAATTTTCTCTGGTTCTACTTTTTTTAGAGTGAATCACTCGCTGACCATCCTATGAATATTGGTCATTGAGCCACCTTTATTTTTTTCATGAAAACTAAGTTATCCTTTGTTTTAACCTTAATTCTTTAATGTCATGGTTGCTTGAAGTTGGTGAGCAGAGCTGTGATTTGCACCTGGGTCCAGCTGGTTGAAAGCCATTATCTCTTGTATACCACGATACCTTCTTCCAGGAGAAGCCGGCTGGGGAGAAGATCATGAGTTAAATTTGTGGCTCTCTTAAGACTATTCAGATGGATACATGAAACTGATGGCTAACAATCCAGGTCTTGGGCTCAGGAGGGAATCTGAGATGAGAAGTATGTGGTCATCGACAGAGATATGAGGAAATCAGTGTCTTTCCACACATTAGATTTGCCTTATTGCCTTGGGTTTGCACACACTAATCATGCACTATAACAGTAGCCCATCTCTTGGTTCCAAAACCCATTCATTTTATCATCTTATTTCTAATACATAAAAAGAATTTTAACAATCCTTAGTATCAGAACTATAATCCTAATGGTTCTCAAAACTCAGGTTTTTGTGAGTCTGAAAATAATGGTACAGACTAGAGAGCTTATTATAGATAGCTTGGGCCATTTTTCTAACCACAGCTATATCAAGTTCTATAAATTAAAGGTTGTAGTTCAAGATGATTTTTAGCAGTCTAAGTGTTTTTTTGTCTATTTTTTTTCCCCAAGACTTCATAAAAATGTACAGGTTTTACAAAATGCCTCTGAAGAACATTCTTATATATGAGAACAGTGGGTTCTAGTTCTAAGAGCTCTTGTCAGACTTTTCATTCTAAAGGAATGTGTTCATGATGAAACATATCTCTTCATGGAGAAACATTTTAAGAGGAAAAGTATTATATAAATGATTATGAAAATACTATTTTAGTGTCTTGAGAGTATAGTTTAGCTTGCAAATTATCAGTGATATCAGGTTTTATAATAGAAGCATCAATCATTAGTCATCAATGATGTTGCAGTTAAACTGATCATTAAACTCACTTTATATGGTCCATTAATAAGTTAAAGGTAGAATTGGAATTGGGTGTTAACTGCATGACCAGACAATGAAAATGTCTTTGTTCTTCAAGCTTTGCCTTTTGAAAATGTGGTTACTTTATAATCACCGTCTCATTGAATTTTGGAACCTTAATTGTTATTTGTGATTCTGGATAAGTATCCTAAATTAAATACATTTGTGGTTGGGTTTTCATTTCATGAATTTTTGAGTCAGTGGCATGCATCCTTCATTCCCAAACCATGTTCCTCCCCTTAGAGCATGTTGTGTCCTGAATGTTTGCATCACACCCTTCTTCCCTGATGCTCCCATTCTGCTTGCTCTGGTGGAGATATTGCACATTACTAAGTTGCATGTTTCACGGCCTCAGTGCAATTTAGTGTGTGTGATATTTTCACATGAGTGCATGCACACGGGTATGGCTCTTGCTTGTGGGATCACAGCTTTTCAGTGCCAGTGGGTGGGAGTCCTGCTGATTAATTTGATGGGAGAATGAATGTCTGTATTGTGAGATTTTCATTTGGAAAGTGAACATGCTTCCCACCTCAATCCCCCAATTTTGGAGGATTAAAAGTATTTGGGTTTAAAAAAAGTCAGCATTGATCATTTAGTAAATCAGTATTTCCATTTTTTACTTGGAGCAAGTTAAATGTTCATTGGAAAGAAAGTCTCATGGATTTAAGGTTATATACAATATTTATTTAAATTAAAATGTATAAGGAAGTGTAACACTGTTAGAAAATGTATTTTCATTTATTTGAAGAGATATCTCTCCTAACACTGGAATAGAGAGACAGAATCTCTTATGAATAATTGGGAAATTAAATTAGGTAGAGTTCTTAAATAATAAATCAGTAAATATAATGCCTATTTAACCTACTTGGTTAATGGTCGGTTTAATAAACCTAGCCTTTTACTTCTTTAAGTTTCCAAGGAAAATGACCTTAAAAAACTTTGTCTTGTATTTAGTTTCTCATTGTGTTGCTTTAAAAATTGCTAAATTTGGAGACACATTGACTGGTTGCCTCCTGCGTGTGCCCCTACCAGGGCCGGGGATCGAGCCCGAAACCGAGGTCAGCCTGATCACCACTTGGAGCAAGAAAACCTGAATCACAGCCTAATGCTGGAGCTAGGGGATGGGTGACATCCAAGTGGAAGGAGAGCCCAGCGGGTATGGGAGAACAGGTTGCAACAGGTCCTGGCTACCACCCGAGGGAAGTGAAAACCTCGTGACATGAGCTCACAGAGAAACATAATGAATGTTCAGAGTTTAGCTGGAAAACCAACACAAGGTGAAGCACAATTAATTTAAAGTCAACAAAAGAAATTTGAAGCAGGAACAAAGGGTTACAAGGAAGAGGGTTGCAAGTTGTCGTTACAGTAAGAAACTCGAAGATGGAGTGAATGAATATAGCCCAAAAATGAGTGAGTAAGCTGGAGAAATATAACGGAATCCCCCCAGAAGACATCAAGTGTACTGAAAAAGAGCAAAATAAAAAAGAGACATTAAGAGAGAAGGAGGGAGGATGGGAGGAGCTTCAGAGGAAGAAGGTATAATAAATGGAGGAAAGAAAATATCTGAAGAAATAATGACTGAGAATGTCCTGTAATTAGAGAAAGCAGGAAGACCATAGAATGGAAGGAGTTAGAAAATATCAGTAGACTAGATAAGAAAAATCCACGCTTCATAATCTAGTACACTTGCAGACCATCGATGCCGAAGAGAAGATTGCTGGGGCAAAGGAACAAAACTCAAATTGATATTAGCTTTTCAGCATTCATATTATGTGAGACCAGACTAATACTTTCAACATGCTGAAGAAAAAATAAATTTGAACCTAGAATGTTAAAAAAATAAATAATAAAAATTGCTAAATTTATTTTAATAGGCTTGTAATAGAACTAGTGTTGAGATACAAATGTTTGCTATTTGCTTATATAATTGAAACGACCCCTTGTTAATTTTTTAGTTAGCATTCAAGTAAGCATCCATGATAGCTAGGCATTGTCAAAGACACAAAACCATGTGTTAATGAGATAAAAATACAGAGTTAATGTTCCTGCTGCCAAGGTCTCCAGGTAATCTAGTGTGACACCACTGTTGTATGCTTCTGTGTGTGACCTATTTCCAGTGGGGACGGAAAGCTTCCATGTCAGTGCCTGCTCCCCATGCCCTTCAGCAGTGCTGTGAGTCTGTACGCGCACACAGGTCACCATTCCTCCCTGGAATGGGAAATCTAGTGTTCACCAGGTTTCTGTGCATTTTACTGGGCAGCTGGGTCTCTGGGTGGATGAACCAGGAAAGGGAAGGAGGTGTGACTTCTCAAGAGAGGTTAGGTAGAATCAAGGGAGCTGGGGGATACTTCTCCTAATTGGTAATGGCAGTCCTCCACTTATCCTAATTTTCGCTTTCAGTGGTTTCAGTTACCTGTGATCAACTGTGGTCTGAAAATATTAAATGGAAAATTCTAGAAATAATCAATTCATAGGTTTTAAATTGTGTCGTTTTGTGGAGTGTGATGAAATCTCATGCTGTCTTGATTTGTCCTTCCTGGGATGTGAATCCTCTCTTTGTCCATCGTATCCATGCCGTATGTGCTCCTGCCATTAGTCACTTAGTAGCCTTAATGGTTTTCAGATTGGCTTTCGGGGTATGGCGGTGCTTGTGTTCAAGTCACCCTTAATTTACTTAATAATGGCCCCAACGCACAAGAGTAGTGATGCTGGCATTTTGGATATGCCAAAGGGAAGCGTTCCTTTAAGTGAAAGGGTTAGAGGGTTAGGATATAGGGGGGAGAAACCAGTATATGTAGAGTTCAGTACTATCCATGGTTTCAGGCAGCCACTGAGGGGCTTGGACACCCTGCGGATAAGGGGGCCTGCTGTAGGCTGTGACTCTGGAAGTTGGCCTGCCCCCCTCCCCCCACCAGTTCACCTCTTAAGGTGCAGCGTATTGCAGGGAGGGTCTAGTACTGATAGATGGTTCATAGCTATTGTTTCCTGGGGGAATGGCAGTCTGGTAGTCTTCCTATTTGACCTTTAGAAAGAAAAGAGGGCAGACCCCATGTAAGAAGAAAGTGTTAGGAGTGGGCAGAACTTTACTTTGGACTCTTCACCCCCCTTTTCTGTTGCCCCTCTTCCTGAGACGGGGGCTTCCTACTTGTCTGTCGTCGAGGGCCCTGTGTGTTCTGAGCGCAGAGAGCTTCCTGACTGGTTTACCCTCCTCCCCACTCCCGTTTTTACTTCAAATCTCATTCCCTTACAAGCAGGTTATGTGATCAGATCCTGAGTTGTGTGGCTGGTTTTCTCTCATTCAGTTTAGAAAAGTAACAAGAACAATCTTTCGGTCAGAAATGAGAGAGGGGGTAACTGAAGTGAAGCATTAGGAAACCTGTGAAACAGATCTCGTGTCAGCTTAGAGTTTATGAAGAATGAAGACGGGTTATAGAGGTTGAGAAGAATACAATTCTGACTAATCATTTGAAATCAGTTCAGGCCTCTGGTGCAGAGGAGTTAGAGATGTAGCTGTGTATATGAGCATGGACACGCACACCTCTGCTGCAGAGCAGTGTCAATACACAATAGCACTTATTAGGGAAAAGCTTAGAAGCAGACAGAGCTGATTGTGTATGAAGCTGGAACTTCTCTTCACAGAGAGAGGTGTAAGCTTAGCTGGGGCCTAACTGGGCTGGATGCACTATGGCTTGCCTTCCAGGAGGGGGAACCCTGCCCAGAACAGTCTGCCTATGGCACAGGGTGGGGAACATCTACATGCCCGTCTAACAGTGGAAGGTCTCTGAGGGAGGGTGTGGCCTGTAGAAAGGGTGAGCCTCCCGCTCAGTGGCTGGTATCAGTCTCTTCTTCCATTGAGCTCAGTCAGACCTGCCGAGTCAGCATAGCTGAGCTACCAAAGGAGGGAAGGAAAGGAGCCTCTGGAGTCTTCTGAATTTAATTCTTTCTCTTCAAAACCCTGGAGGTGTAGTTAGAGAACAACTGTTAATGTTTGAGAATCACTGAAGGGAGAGGTCCTGAGGACTGAGCACAGGTACTATTCAAAACAGAGGACTGAAGTAGAGGGTGGAGGAACACTATGTTACATACATATTTGACTGGTGAACTCGATGTAGGTTTTCTGTAAATTTTACAGTAGGTGCCTGATACATGGCTGTGAGCATTTACAAAGGGAAGGGTAATGCCCGATGGCACCATGCATTCTCCTAACAGTCATACATAACCACTTTTAGAAAAATACCACAGTCCTAGTTATTGTGAGTTTTCAAGGGATTTGATGAAGGGTATCATAATGTCTGCCTTGATGGCAAGAGGGGAAAATGCTCCCTGAATCTGATTTTCCAAAAAGTGTTGATTAATGGGTTGGTATCAGTGAGAAAATGACTTTTCATCTGTGTGATTGTAAGAATGCTCTTGCATTGATTAAACTAATGCTTTCTGGTAACTCGTTCAAACTGTACATTGTGCATGTCATTAGTTATATGCCACATAAAGTTTTGATTATGAGAGTAAATTATTCCTAGCAAATTTTGAATTTTAGATTCCTAAGAGATGAGTGATTGAATACTTGCTATTTTGGGTTATTGCTCATGTAGGCTAATGAGTACTTTTGCAGTTTAAAATAACTGATCCAAAACCTTGTGGTATGCCACTTGAATTTTCAGCATTGTCATACCCTGTACCTCTTTAGCATAAAGCAAAATTACTTCCAAAACCTGGAAGGAGAAAGAGAAACTCTGTGCATTGTTTTTAGCCTTATTATAATGCTAATTGGTAATAATGGCACAATTTTATAACAGCCCCAACTTAATTGAGTGCTTACTATGTACCAGGCACTAAGCTTAGCACTTTAATTGCATTGTTAATCTTCATAATAACACTATGAGGTGACTGCTGTTATTTCTATTTTACAATCAAGGAAAATGAGACTCAGAATTCATATGGTTTTCAACATCATGCCACAAACAAGTGACAGAACTGGAACTCCAGAGCAGTTGAAGGAGCCAGAGCTGTTCCAGGCCTCATGCCTCCCACTCCTTGTCGTTCCTGAACCCGTCTTGTCAGTTCTCGTTCCTTGGCGCCTCTCATTCGCTTACCTCGTGCCTTTCCAGTCCCCCTCGCTGCCCCTTTACTCCCCCCTGCTGTCTCTCCGTGTCCCGTAGGCGCTTGCCCTTGACCTCCAGGCTCGTCCCTTTTCCAGTCCACCCTCTGCCTTAATGTTTTTGCCAAGCTCTGGGTTACCTGCTGCCCATGTGACTTCACTGATTCCTGTTGGGTCCCCTCCGTCACCCAGGAAAGAGACCTCTGGTCAGAAAGCAAGCCAATCTGTTAAACTGGGAATGTAGTTCAGTTTTAAAAAAAGAAACGTTTGAGATGGGGGCGCGAGCTGTTTCAGGTGAAAAGGAAGGAATGGCCCGCTCAGAAGTGTTGGATTTGTGAGCTAGGTCACTCTGGTGGGCGGCCTCCCAAACCAGGCACCCATGGTGAGTTGATGAGAGCACCACTGCTGTATCTTCTGTGCTGTGACTCCCAGTTCTCGTAAAATCCTGTGTGGCTTTTCCTAGCGTTTGTCCTCAATCTCTGTGGTACTGGGTCTGTGGTTACTCCCTCCTCAGAGCTGCTTTCTCCCTTTGCCCCCGGGAGTGCTGCGCTCTCATGATTTTCTTCTTTCTCCAGAAGGGATTTCATTATTGCTTTGGCTGGTGTATCTTTGCCTGTGGGTCCCTTATGAGAACAGCCCATTGCCCATTGTCTCCAGGCTTTCCCCTGGGGATAGATTATCCTTCCCTATGTCTAATCCCTTATAGTGCATCTCAGATCTCTCCTCTGTAAAGCCTTGTCTCTTATTTCCAGCTGCCTCACGGTACTTTCATCAGCCTCCTTTCTGTTGCCTGAACTAAACGTATTCCCTTTTCTTCGTGTCCCCTCCCTTTCTGGGCTTCGTGTCGCCGAGACATTGCCATTCTCCCCCCCTGCCATTTTCCTTTTCCTCTGTCTCCTCTATTCAGTGACTGTTCAGCTCTTTTATGTTTCCTGTGGGCCATCTCCCTTCCTTTCCTTCTTTTTGATAGCACTTTAATCTCTGTCCTTATTGTCAGAAGTCACATGGCACCTTTGAGACATTCTTGACTGAAAGCTGCTGGTCAGGGAGACGAAGAAGGTTTCACGATTTGGGGCACCACTGTCACCAAATCCATGCCTCCAAACCCTATTTAATGGCTGAATCACTAGGTTCTAGAGTATGACGGTGCCCTTAGAGTCAACTTCTTGGGATACTTTGGGAAAGCTTGGTGTTTCCTTTTGTGTGTTCAGCGCCACCTTTGCTGCCACAGCCTTTGCTTTTTCCATTGCAGCTAGCTTTTCTCTCTTATGAGTATGTGAGCACCTCTCCTGTGCCCTCCAGAATCCTGATTTTTATAACCTTGTGATACCTTGTGATAACTTGAGGTTTGCTGCCTTCGTGCTCTCTCTGAGCAGTGTCTTATTTCTCCTCCTGACACAGTACTATTTTAATAATTTTCCAGTTGCAAAGCACAAATGAAGTGCCTAAGATTGCAGATTTTTATGGCGTTCATTCCTTTAATCACCGAGCATGTGTGTCTGTTTTTACCCCTTGTATTTTCGTTTCTGATTTTATGTTGGAGTTAACACGTTCATTTGTTTTTTTCATAAATTCACTCCCAATGACCTGCATATTTGATAGTTAGCATTTGTGGAAGTTACTTTGTAGGCTTGGTTGACTAGTTGAAGAAATGTGGGGAAATTTTGTTAACAGGAGAAGACAGAGTGATAAGTACCAGTTATGTTATCCCTCACTGGCTCTTCCCAAAGGGGAGGGCTGGCCACAGCCTGGGTCTTAGAGTTTAACCGTATCCTCAGAGATATGATATTCACACTTAACTTTCTTTTCATCTGTTTTGGTGGTAAAAGTTCTCTAGAAGTGAAAGTTGATTAATTATTTCAGTGACGAGGTTATTTAAAGGTGTTTTATTCAACTTACTTTTTCCATTGGAAATTTTGAAGCCATTATCAGATTTGTAATGAAGTAGCCAGAAGCCTAGAGATAGTGATTTTTCTGAATCACAGTGCACGGTGTTTACTTACTTTCCCTTCTATCTTTGGGCATTCTAGAGGGGTGTTTGATGCTTCCCTCAAAATGGCTGGCTTCTATGGATTGTACACTTGGCTGACTCATACTATATTTGGCATCAATATTGTCTTCATACCATCAGGTAACAACTGTGTCATAACTTCCACTGTCTTCTATTTAATGAAAGTTAAGCCATTTTACATACATTGGGAAATGCTATCTTCCCCAAATTTAAAATGCTAAATTTTGAGATCTAATCTAGTCCAAATTAGGAGCAGAAGTATAATTTGTAATGTTTGTTTATTGCTGTATCCCCAGTAGCTAGAACAATACCCAGCACATAGAAAGCACTGCATAATATTTGTTGGATGAATGGATGTCCTATCACTAAGCACAACACCTAGTAGCACAGAATTGGCATTCAATAAACGTTTGAATCCAACTGTTTGTCAGGGAACAATAGTTGGTCAAGTAGCTTTGTCCCATGAAGGAGACTGTCCCATGGGCAAGATGAATGCTTCTGAGGGCCTATCAACTGTCCCCACACCTCTTGAGGTCTGTTCTGATAATACCCGCATTCCATAAGCCCCAGGATGGCTTATTCACCATTTTTACTTTTCCTCTGAGTTATCTCTGCTCCTCTCCTTCCACTCTTTCTGCCTGTTTCTGTGGCTGCTTGTCTTCCTAAATATCTCTGCCTTCCACATTTACCTCTACCACCATTTTTCCCTCTTTGGTCTGTGCTCCCTTCCTTCTTTACATTCCTAGGCTCATTCAAGTTGTTTCCTACTTTGTTGTCCACGAAGCCACCTCTGACATGCGAGCACCTTGAGAAGCACAGGGAGGTTGTTTTGTGACAGCCCTGTGAGGCAGGCAGGGTAGGTGATGGTTGTATAGATGAGAAACCAACGTTTTAAGGTCACAGACCTGGTGAATGGTTAGGACCAGAATGGAATCCATGTCTGCTTGACTCTTAGCCAGGAGAGCCCAGATCTCTGTCAAATGCTTTAACGTTCTAGAAGGGGAGAAGCTTGAGTAAGGTCTTTCGGCAAGCTGGGTTTTTTGTTATTTTTAAATTACATTTCATTTTTTCTTAGAAAGAATTACAGGAAAAGATATATACTCATATCTGAGCTGTAGGAAACTAATTTCTGATTTGGCTTTGGACTCAGTACAAATTTTGACCAATGTTCTATAGTTACATTATAGGACTGTATATTAACTAACCAACAAAAGTTTAGTTGCTGAAGAATAGATTCATAAAGTAGACACACGCTTTAGAAAGATTTTCAGTATCACGTTTTAAGATATTGGACCTTCATTTGACTAGCAAAGCCAGTTAATCAAGGGCATAACATTCCCTGAAAATGTGAGTTGGTATTTAACTTGTTTTGGTGGAAATTTTTAAGTAGGAGGAGCTAGTGCTTAGGTTCTGCTGTTTTGTTACTGTTTTGGTGGTGACGTTCAGTTGTATTTCTTAATTAATCTTTTACTAGCTTTAGCAGCAATCCTTGGAGCAGTGCCATTTCTGGGGACGTACTGGGCAGCAGTACCTGCAGTTCTAGACCTGTGGCTCACACAAGGCTTAGGATGCAAAGCCGTTTTACTGTTGGTTTTTCATCTCCTGCCAACATACTTTGTAGACACTGCCATCTATTCTGATATCTCAGGGTAAGTATCCATAGAACTTCCAGTGAATCATGTCCAGGGATTTTTAAAGGAGAGTGTTTTTTTTTTTCAGAGATGGGAAAAAGGATAGGTGGTAGGAGTTTTTAGTGAAGTAGCCTTCTGTGATCCCACTGATATAATAAAAATTTAATTTACTATAATTAATATTGTTTGCAAGGTATTTTGGTACTATATAAGTATAATTTGTAATATATGAGACCCTGGGTTAAAACAAAATTGTGAATAATCATATGATTTAGTGACATTTCACCTAGGAAAGAAATATTACTAGATGTATGTAAAATATTCAAAGTAACGAGTTGGCGATTATTTTCAGAATCTTTTTGCTTTTAGAGAAAAACATTATTAGCTTGTATGTCTGGCTGTTTCCATGTAAAACCAAATCTCATCAAGCTAATATCTGACAAACAGAGCTCTTTTACTTAAGATATTACATAGTTTGGTTCCTCGATGAGTACAGGTTAAATTTAAGGCAGAAGCCAAACTTTGGCCATATAATAACAACAGCAAGGTTTTGATACTTCTTTTAGAAATTGCAATAAATAAATCAAGCCAGTTCTCACTTACTTACACATATTCAGATTCACATGCTTATTAAAATCTAGGACGTAACCAGATGTTGAATTTTGATCAGCTGATTCTCAAATTCAGGATATGACCTATTGAAGTTGTCATAATAGTGAATGTATAAGTTTTCTTTCAGTAAATCCATCACAATAAGGGTAGATGGAGTCCAAGTTTATAGAAAGAGCACACTTAAATTATATAAGGACAAATTATATGCCACATGTTTTTTCTCTGGTAAGTTAAAGTAGAAAACAAATGATGTAGAACTAACTACTCTGAAGTCCCAGAGGTCAGGAGCAACAAGAAACTCCATAAGCCTTATAGGAGCTCTTATGCCTAAAACTTGAGGGAGAAGATCAAAGATAAGAGAACATCAGAGTGTGGTTTCCTAGTGCTTAACAGTTGAAATTTAAACAGTAGGAATAGGTACACAGTTTATATAGCTAAGTGCTTTCATTTTTTTAAACTTGACTGCACATTTTATATTAAGGTAAAATTTAAGATTTATATGCAATTTTTTTCTTAATAATAAAATAATACCTTATTTAACCAGCATCATTAGAACATGAAAGTTTTTGCATAAATTGTTTCATTTTTTAATAAATTAAGCTTTTTCTTTTTTTTTAAAGCTCTTGACATTTTTTAAGCAGTAAGCATTTTTGACAGAAACTTTATTTAAATGTATCATTTATTGACATAGCACACATGGGGCACTGTCCTGTATCCATTTTTGGAATAAGGAAGACAAATAAATTATGAATATAATGTACTGGTTTTCTGAAGACTGGCTTACCTTAAATGTTACTTATTGAACTATAGTATAAAATAAAACATCCTTAAGGGTATATAGTTATTTCCCCCTCACTAAATTGTTGTAGTCATGTGTTTTTAAAAACTAGAAACAAATAGAACATACCTTTTTTTCCAGTTCCCCTTAGGTCAGTGGCCCTTGTTATCATTATCATTGTGGTGCTATAATCTTATCTTATTTCTTTCCAGTTATGTAAGTGATACTGTGATAAGATGGAGGGCAATTATGACTCCTGTGAAATAAAAATCTTGGGTTTTGTGGTAGATATTTTCCTCATGAAGCCTTTTATCACTACCTACTTTAAAAATTATATTTTGGGGGATTGCCGGAAGTCTAACCTGTGAGTAACAGGGATGCTATTGTATTGTCATCTTTTAAAAAGCATAATTAATTAATTATATGTGAAATTGGGCTCACTTAATTATTCTTGATGGTGGTAAACCTAACAGGTGACTGATATAATTAATCCTAAATTGATATTAATCCACTTCAGGCAGCCACGTAATGGGTGCAAGGTACCTGTTAACATTACTGACATCACTCCTTCAGTTGCTGAATCTATATAAAAGGCAAATGTCAGACATGCTATGCAGGCAAGAAAATTCTTGCATCTCAATATATAATGTTCAGTTATCTACATTGAGATAATCTGAAGGGAGCTGATAATCTAGTCAAAAGCCTGGTGTATTGGAGAATGAACATTGTGTTAGAGAATGTATTTCAGATTTACCCCAGGGTTTGTGTTTGCTAAAAGTCATGAGCTAATCTGTGTGTTCTTTATTCCAGAGGTGGCCATCCTTACTTGACAGGCTTGGCTGTGGCTGGTGGAGCATACTACCTGGGCCTGGAAGGAGCAATCATTGGGCCCATACTTCTCTGCATACTTGTGGTCGCTTCCAACATCTATAGTGCCATGCTAGTGAGTCCCACGAATTCAGTGCCCATGGCCAACCAGACCCCATGGCCTGCTCAGAATCAGCGGTGAGTTAAAGCAGAGTGATCTCTGCCTTCTTGACATGAGTGGTCTATCAAAATACAGGTGTTGCCCGGCTGGGCGTGGCTCAGAGGTTGAGTGTCGACCTAGGATCCAGGTGATCGGGGTTCGATTCCCAGTCAGGGCACATGCCCGGGTTGCGGGCTAGGCAGCCAATCAGCGACTCTCTCATCATTGATGTTTCTATCTCTCTCTCTCCCTTCCTCTCTCTGAAATCAATAAAGATATATTAAAAAAATAAAAAATAAATAAATAAAATGTCTTTGGAAAAAAAAAAAATACAGGTGTTTCAGCACCTACACTCTGCTAAAGATTGTAGTAGACACTGGGTAAAGAGAAATCATTGGGTTTTGTATACCAGGAACATTTGAAAACTAAGTTGGGTCAGAATTGTTAATGTCATGAATGACCAAAAATAAATGAAAAATATAGACTGTTTTGAAACATGGTATACCAGATTAGAGACTCAAAACATAGGATCATCAAATGCAATACATGAATATGTGATAGGAAAGCATGCATGGGGGGTCAACTTGGGGGGCCATGCATGTCTGAAGAGGCTTTTCCTGAAGTCATAATTGATAGCTTGTGTGAGTAGAGAATTCTATGTTTAAAATTTTTTCACTTTAGGTTTTTATTTCTTCATTGTCTTCTAGCTCCCACAGTTGTTAAAAGTCTGAAGCCATTCTGATTCCTGATTCTTTGTAATTTAACTGTTTGAAAACCCACGGGACCTTCTTCTTTTGTTATTTTATCTATTTTTTGTTGTTCTGCTTGGCACTTTTATGCAGTGCCTTTGTGACCATTAAAACTGGGAATTTATGTTCTGCAGTTCTGAACTTGTTCTTGAATTATTTCATTGATGATTTTTGTTTTCCCCCTATCAACGACTTCTTTTAATTCTGACTCTCATACATTGGTCATGTCATTTTCTTTGCTCTTCTTCTATGTCTATCTTTTTAGCCCCATTTTCTGGGTGATTTCTCCTACTTTATCTTCTAAAACCTCCATAGAGGTTTCCATATCTGCTGTCATATTTTTTTCAGTCTGGTTTATTGAGGTATTATTTATATAAGTAAAGTTTACCTACTTTAGTATACAAGTCTATATCAGTTTTCTATAATCCATAGCAAATTACCACTTAGTGGCTTAAAGCAATATGCATTTATTTTATTAATCTCCATGGGTCAGGAGTCCAGGCACAATTCAGCTGGGTCTTCTGCTCTGGATCTGACAAGGCCGTGGTCAAGGTATCAGCTGAAGCGGGGGATTTTATGTGTGGATTGGGGTCCTCTCCCAAGCTTGCATATTATTGGCAGAATTCATTTCCTTGCAGTTGTACAACTGAGGCTTGTAGCTCCTGGAGGCCATCGTAGGCTCTTCATACACATCTGTTTGCTTCTTTAAGGCCAGCTGGCGAGTATTTTTCTGACTTCTCTCTGCTAAAACCCTTTATTAAACGGCTCACCTTATTAAGCCTGGCCCACCCAGCATACTTTTCTTTTGATTAAAGTCAACTGATTAGAGACCTTAATCATATCTGTAAAATCCCTTCATTTTTATAATATTAACACAACATAATCATGATTTCAGAGATCAGATATTTTTGGCTCATGTTAAGAGTGAGACACTCAGGGGCTGTAGATGAGTTGAGTTATGTGTGTTACCACAATATAATCTGGCAGGCTCATTGTCTTGTGAAACTTTCGATGTCAGTGCTTTTTGGTCCCCCTTTTGGGCTAACAAATTCCTCAGAGAAAGATCTTCTAATCTCCTGCCTAGAGGTTGATGGTGTGGCTGCCAACATTCTGGAAGCGGAGAGGGGGAAAGGGACTGGACAGTGTTCAAAACATAAACATTCACTAAATTACCCACTGTCAGTATGTATTCCCAACCCCATCTCTGCCTGGTATTCCCTAGTCCAGAGACTTTTTTTTTACCTTCTCCAGTGGAGAAAGAACTCTAGTTTTCTGCCAATGATAGGAGCAGTTGCTTGGCTGGAGGGAGGGAGGTGAGGATATTGGAGCCATGGCTCTTACTGCTTTATAAGCAGACTTTAAAGTGATCCTTTTGCGTTTAGCCCCACCTTCAACCACACTTCCTGAGTTACTTGTTGTCACCAATTCCTAAGCCTCACCAGGGATTTTGCTGAATAAATCAGATTATTTCTTGGCTTTTTCCACTACTAGCTTAGGATTCTGCCTTTTAGGGTACACTGGGACATTGCAGTTGTCCATCTACTTTCCACCTTCTAAAAGTTTGTTGCTCTTACCTCTTATCTTCTCTTGTGTTTTCCTTTTCTTAGGTAGATTTATACCTTTTTAAAAATTCGTTTAATGGCATTCTAATGGGTTTTCGAGAGGGTCTGAAAGAAGTATGTGTTCAGTACACCCCTCTTTAGTGGAAAGTCTAAATGACATATTAAATAGTAATAAACACAACCACTGGTGACATTTATTGGGAATGTGTGCCAAGTTCTGTGATAAAACTTTACACGCATTATCTTATTTTACTTAATCTGTCCAGTATTTTCATGAGATTAGAAACAGTTGTTTTCCATGTGTTTTTTTAAAAATGTTTTCATTGATTTTTTTAGAGAGAGGAAGAGGGAGAGAAAGAGAGAAACACTGATGTGAGAGAGAAGTATTGATCATCTGCCTCCTGCACGCCCCCTTCTGGGGTCTACCCCACAAACCTGGCATGTGCCCTGATGGGGAATCTAACAGGTGACCTTTTGGTGCATGGGATGACCCTCAACCAACTGCGCCAAACCAGCCACGGTGTTTTCCATGTTTTATAGATGAAGAAATGAAGGCTTAGAGAGGATAATTTTCTGGTAGTCACATAGCCTGAAAAACAGGTGAGCTGGTCTGGTGTGTTTCAGCTAAAGATCTTTCTTTTCCGTCATGAACCATCTCTTCCCTTCCACAAGAAAAAACATTCTTCTCTCCTTCCTTCATCAGTAAACGTTACCCTCCATTTACATGTGCCATGTGTAGTAATCCTTATTACTTCCCATCTTCTCATTCACCATCTTCACCTCAAATCTGCCCTTGCCTCTGTCTCAGTGCCACCCCCTGGTCTAAGCCAGGCCCACCTACTAGGTTTCTCACCTGGACTGCCCTGGTCATCTTCGTCTCCTACCTACTCTCTGAACCTCCACTCTTTCTGTTCTCCAGTCCACCCTCCATACCGCTGATGTGTTCTTTTCAAACTAGAGTTGTTATTGGCGAGGTGCCCTCTGTATCCCCACCTGTTGCTGGTGGAAGTGGAGTTCCTAGGGTGCCATGGGGAAGAGAATTTACTGAGGCCCCCACCGGAGAATGGGTGATATTTATTTTTGTGGAATTAAACCCCTGGGTTTCTAAGGTCCCATTTCCCTCCATCCCGCCCTGGAAAAAGTTTAATTTTGTTTTCAGCAAGGCTAAGATTAAATCCACTACCCAGAGTTTCTGCTTCATATCAAAGCACAGTCCAGTCTAGCATCTGGCTAGCTTAGCTTGTGTTCCCAGCTGCATGTGGGATCTGCATGGCCACAGGCCATGTGGCTGCCAAGGCCACATGGTGAGTTAGCCCCTGGGTGAGTGCAGGTCACGGAGCAAGTGAATGCAAGGGAGCTAGGAGCAGAGCAAGAGAGTGAGAACTGTTTGTCTTGGGGTTATAACCAGAAGCTTAACCAGTTAACCCTTTTGGATTTTATGCAATTGCAGTGGCTCTGCCCCTGTAGCCAGTTATCTTTCCCCAGGCTAGACCGACAGTCAGGCACCTTCCCTGTGTCACCCTGACTTCACTACGCATGCGCCCGTCTCCCCCTTTGGTCCCTTTCCCCCAGGATCTGCAGGGAATGGACCGGTGGCTCCCAGGGGAGCGTGAAGTTGCAGCTTCCTGGTGAAGCTGCCCAGGTGACCATATATATGGTGTCTGGCCTCCCCTTTGCTATTACTAACTAACTAGTTACGATGGTAACAGAGGTACATACGATTGTGATACTTTTACCAAAATGGCCTCCCATTGGTTTTAGGAGGAGGATGAAAATCCTTGACATGGCTAATAAGGCCCTACATGATCTGACCTCTGCCTGTCTCACTAAAGCTGAAACATTTTCCCCATGCTTTCTGAGCTGCAGCCATACTGGCTTCCCATCAGGCCTCAGATACCCCAGGATCCACTCAAACTCTGTGCCTTTATACATGCTGCTTTCTCTATTTGGGCAGACTCTTCCCCTCCACCCAGTTCTCCTTGCATAATTAACTCCTAGTCAGTCTTTAGATCTCAACTCAAATGTCAGTTCATCAGAGAAGCCTTCCCTACTCCTAAGATTAGGTTACATCTTTCCTGCTAGTTTAATGCTCTTACAGATAGCACCTTTTAGATTTCCTTTATAATACAATTTTCATTTATACTCTTGATTACACATCTGTCTTTTCTTTTCCCACTTGACTGGTTGCTGTTACTGCAGAGGCCATGTCAACTTTAGTTACTGATGTATCCATAGCACCTGTAAACAGTGTTTTGTATCTGGAATATGTTCAATTCCTAGTTGAAGGAACGAATGGGCTGTGAGGGAATAGTCTCTGCAGAGGCATGAGCTATGGTTCGGCTTATCTTGGGAACTCTGATGTTGTTACAGTGTGATAATACAGGGTGGTTGGTTGCGTTTCATTAGGCAGACTTACCTTCTGATTGCAGATGCAGGCACTGGTGGCTGGAAAGACCCATTTGCAAGACTGTTTCTGTGTATTACCATCTACAGATAAGCTATCCACCTAAGGAAAGATGGAGGAGGGAGAGCCCCCATCCATATTGGTGAATGCAGTATTTGATGGTGGTGAACGTCGTGGGCACAACACGTCGTTCGGCTCCCCACAATTTTGGGCTGATTCAGTAATCAGAACCTATCATCAGAACCTATCACTTTCGCTTTTCTCTGTTAACATTGGGGCTGTTTGAAGAGTGAGGAAGGACAAAAACACTCCTGCAGTTATGC